TTTACAGCAGCCAAATACTCTTAAACACGCACGTTGATGCCAAATGTGGAGGCGAATAGCGGAGGACACTACCTCCGTCCCACTGCACGCTCATCAGCGGTACTCGGTTGTGCCGCCCTTCGCTACGAGTCGCCCCACGGCATCACGATCGGAAAGGTCGCACGTGCAAATCCACCCGTGAGGGCTGTAAGCAGCGCATCAATTTCATCATCGTCGTTTCTGAAGCTTCAAGAAACTTGCGTGACACATTATTAGGAGCGAGTCCACCATGCTCGTCTCGTGGATTTGCTTGCCCTCGCCACGGGAATGTGGAGTTTGCACCAAAGTGCTCGGTCGCCTCCGATGGAGGTGAGCGTCGCCCCCCTCTCTGTTTGAGCAAAAGGTGGCAGCACTGTGACTTGGTGAGGAATTTGCCAAAAATTCTCAACGCAGGAACCCCTCCTGAAAAATAGAGTCTTGAGACTCGGTGAGGCTTTTTTTTCTTCCCCCCCCCCCACCCCAGATATCAAATCTCTCGAGAACCTCACAGGGGTAATGACCACAATACGCAACGACCCGACACCATTTTACCAGTGGCAGTACCTATTTTATTGACCGAGGTGACGACGATGATGATGTTGATTGGCTTAAGACGACCGCTGACCAAGGTTACGATTTCGTAACGTTACGATTCTGAGCCGGGTTCTCTGACCGTACACAGCGGCACCCTGCCAGGTAATGGTATCTAATTAACACTAACACTCGGGAGCAACGTTCCCTCTCTTTATAAATAAGAAAACCCAGCGAGGGTTCGTGTTGTGTTTCGCTGCCGAGAGGTTGCTAATAATTTATAAAGCGGCTTGCATTACCCAGTGCTGACTAAAGCGATATCCAGTTTCCTTTACGAAGGGAGTGTGACGCGATACTAGGAACAGTCAGGTGAGACGGGGACAGTCTGAAGGAACAGGCATATATAGGCCATTGTGGGTATATTGAACAAAGTTTTTTTTTATTATTCTTACATTTATAGGCAGGCATCAGCGAGAGAGATATATATTAGGCATTGATGAAAAAATTGGGTTTTTTGTAAACAGATATGACATTCGTTAAATAGATAACCAGGCAATGCGTGTCCTTCATGTGTCTGTCTGTGCACATAAACAAACTAATTCTTTATATTCTTGGTTCTTTCGGTAAAGTCACGTAGAAGGGAAACAATAAAATAATAAAAATGTAAAACAATACAATTCTCACGACGTTTCGACTGCAACACAAGCAATCATCATCAGGTGTGAAAACCACAACAAGAAAATTTGAAAAAAGTGTCGTTTTTTTACGTTAGCACCACGGAGAGCGATTTGACGAGAATTTTATTGTTTTATATTTTTTATTATTGTATTGTTTCCCTTCTACGTGGTGACTTTACCAAAAGAACCAAGAATATGAATCCCTGCAGTCACGAAAGCTTTAAATCAAAACTAATTATTTATCACACCACCCATCAGCCGCATGGCCTCCTGGGACTTCATTATTTCAGCAGCAGCATCTCTGGACAAGCGCGCTCTAGGCCGGTTTTGACGTGCATTGGTAGCGATATGATCCTAGATCAATCACAGGAAATGCTGGTGAAGCTAGCACCATCGCTTTCTGGGACCACTATCCACCAGCTGTTGCGACAATTAACAACTTGACCTTCAAAGATCGCTCTTTCTTTCAGTCTCGTTGCCACAGTCTGGCTTCAGGCCATCCGCCTTGTTGCTGACCTGCAGGTGCCACACTCCCAGTGCCGGGTTTGGGAACCAGCCCTCCTCCACCCTGCACACCGTGTCCCAACCCCATCGCAGCCTCCTCCACGATTACTTCGACAACACTTTGCTACTACATTTGCTCCGCATTTCCGAAGTTTGCATAATTTCACCATTGAAATCAAAGGCCTGAAGCTTCAATCGTAGCAAAATATGGTTGAAGATACATTTTACAGTATCGACAAAGGTAAAAATGATAACGCTTAGGCCGATAAGCCAATTGACATTTTGGACCAATCTTTCCCACGGAATGTGTGCGAAGCAGACAAAGAACCGTGGGACTGTTTTCATTTTCTCTGTCACTTCAGCTGGGCCCAGGAAACAATTGAATGCCTGTGTGTCACTCGGCAAGATCTCTGAATGAATACCGTGAAGCCGTTCGGGCACATTGAAACGAGGGGAAATTCAGTGCATTGACAGTGGAGGAAAACTCAGGCACACAGGAATAGGGTGATGTGTAACGGAGGGGAACAGAGCGGACGCAGAGTGACACTGAGAAAATGGGTTCGATTTTGGAAATTGAAGGCGCATTGATAAAGTAAGTGAATAGTTTTGTGAACTTTCACATGAGAGACATGGTGCTTCAGCAGATGAGAGTGATGAGCCATTGAGGCAGAAGCGAGACAATGAAACGAGGAAGACATTAGCACAGCAAAGAATGCACCGTGAGGATTGAGAAGAGAAATGCAACACGGTGGCGCATTGACATGATACATTAGGCATACACAGAGAGGGAGACATTAAGAGGAAGATTGCCCTGTAATAACGAGTGAGGTGATGCATTGGCGAGATAGGCGGGCGAGTCAGGTGAACTTTTGAAAAGGAAGCAAAGAGAGAGACGGCATTGAGAATCAAATTGAGAGATAACGTTGTGCATGTTGAGGGGAGAGAGACACATGAGGGACTGTAGTCAGTGTTGGGTGAAACCCATTTCAAGTAATTTGTTGTATCAACAAATTACAAAGTAAATTACAAGTAATTTGTTCCTGCAAGTGTCGGGTTCGGGGTTCATCGCCGCCCAAAAGGCGAAACTGAAGAAACAGAGAGGGGCAGTGAAGGGAGGGAACCAAGTTGTAATGGATGAGCGACAAGCGGATTCCAGAAACGTGGAGGAGCAAGGCGGAAAGACTTTTTTACCAAAAGAGAGTTTGAGCAAATGGAGCTTTTGTAGGAATAAGGAGGCAGTTCTGAGGCCATGGCCGGGGGTTAGAGGAACTAAGTGGGTCTTTACATAATTGGCAAATTTGTTTTAAGAGGACTTTTAATATGAGTACAGCCCCTGGGGGGTAGCTGGAGAGACCAAGAAATGCTCGACTAAACATTGCATCGCGAGGTAAATGGTAGTCATCTAAACATTATATAGGAATAGGTTTTACCCTTTTAACTGGCACAAAAACTGACACCTTTATTCAAGGCATCATGTTTGCAATAACCACAACACAAGCAGTCAAAATGCAAACAAAAAAGGACAGTGCATATTATTATCAGAGTTGTCTTTTTTGGTTGCATTTTGACTGCTTGTGTTGTGGTTATTGCAAACATGATGCCTTGAATAAAGGTGTCAGTTTTTGTGCCAGTTAAAAGGGTAAAACCTATTCCTATATCTTGTTACTGGCAAAGGAGGTCTCATAATGTAAATGCTCACCCCGAGCCCTCAATACTCTGATAGTGTGCTGTTTTTGAGTTGTACGCCTTTTGGCGTCTTCTGGTCCAACACCAGTGGAGACTAGGCTCTAAGAAAAGCCGTCTCGGGTGTGAACCAATCAAATTCAAGGACAGTGCATATTATTATCAGAGTTGTCTTTTTGTTTGCATTTTGACTGCTTGTGTTGTGGTTATTGCAAACATGATGCCTTGAATAAAGGTGTCAGTTTTTGTGCCAGTTAAAAGGGTAAAACCTATTCCTATATCTTGTTACTGGCAAAGGAGGTCTCATAATGTACAAGTCTAAACATTGTTTAACACGTAGGCTTTCGCGACCAATATCCATAAAAAAGGTTTGTTGGGTTAAAAGATCGAGCAAATATAAATGTGTCGATAAACCCGCTAACCGCCCGACACAGCAAATTCATAAAGTTTGTCACGTAAACGAAACGTACCAATAAGTTACTACTTCAGCACGTGGATTTACTCGCCATATTTACGCAATCGAACCCACAACAAAAACACCTTTATTATGAAAATTGTATCACCAAGTCAGGGGCCTTCCATGAATGACGTCACGCACCTAGGGAGGGGGGGTCAGACATTTGTGACGATGTGTGACGAGGGGGGGGGGGGTTTGAGAAATGTGATGTCACATCGAAATGCGCAACTTTAAATAAATATAGACAACACGTTCTACTTAATTAAATAGACTTTTTAATAAATGTTTTCTCCTACAACATCAGAGTGCAGCGCCACATTAAATACGCATTGCAATGACAATAGTTTAAAGCGATTTGAAGCAGGTTTTATACTTTTTAGAGGGGGGGGGGGGGGGCAGAGCTTTGTGACGTCATATCAGGGGTGGGGGGTGGTTCACCCAGTTCCACAGTTTCCCCACCCAGGCAGTCACTCCTGGATTATCCCAAAAACGTTCCGGGTTCCATTTCAGACATTCTTTGGCGAGGCTGGGAGCTCCCAGTTCACTCCCAGCCTTTATTTGACACTTGCCAACCTCCTCCCGCCCACGATGGCCTCTCCACCTCCGAAGGTTGCAGACAACCCATGGCCCCTTCCAGAAAATCGCTTCGGCCACCAGGAGACAGCAAATGGCTTCTGCCATCAGGGGCGCCACGGTGGCTAGGAGATGTTAACTACCTCGCCTGGTACGCAGAAGGTCGTGGGTTTGATCCCATCCCTGATGACGCCTGCCGCTGTATATTTGTAGTTTGCGTTGTCTCTCTCCCCCGTGGTCGCGTGGATTCTTCTCCGGGTCCTCAGGTTTTTCCCTCCACTTTGAGAAACACGCATTTACAGCATGTGGCTGCTATAAATGTCCACGTGAAAAGCCACTGCATTGACCTTTTATTTGTAGCCAACGTCGCATCTGAAAAAAATATATATATATATAGCTCAGTGGGCCCTACCTGGTCAAATAAACCGAGTTGATTTCAGTTTAGACTCGACCAAAGGAATCCTACTTCTGGATGCTACGGATCGACACCGATATTTGTTGACATTTTCTACGTCCTTCGTTCATTCAAAAACAAAAATCTCTGCCGACTCTTCCAGGAGAGTCCCCACACCTCCGACGGTCTTGACCATGGGGCCGGAGGATGCGGGGACTGGACAGGCAGGGCGCCGCATTGTATCCAGGTAACACTTATCTCCACGTTTGTTGCACAATTTTAGACGTACTGCTAGATTTTAAAAGGTACGAACTGATCGTTTTAGCGTCGCTGTTAAATTCTAATATTTTGTGGAAATTATTCCAGGGTTTCGTCCATAAATTACGTCACCCACCTTGGGGGGGGGTGGGGTCAGACATTTATGACGATGTGTGACGAGGGGGGCGGGGGTTGAGACATGTGACGTCACATCAAAATGCGCAACTTTAAATAAATATAGACAACACGTTCTACTTCATTAAATAGACTTTTTAATAAATGTTTTCTCCTACAACATCAGAGTGCAGCGCCACATTAAATACACACTATAATGACAATAGTTTAAAGCGATTTGAAGCACGTTTTATTTTGGGGGGGGGGGGCAGAGCTTTGTGACGTCATATTTGAGGGGGGGGGGTCTGACTTTTTGTGACGCCGTGTGACGAGGGGGGATCAAAAATCGTCCAAAATCGCGTGACGTCATATATGGACGCCCCCCCCCCCCAACAAAGAAATTGCGAGTGGGTGATTGTCGGAGGAAAGTGTCGAGTCCAGCAGCTTGGTTTGCGAGTGATGACAGCAAACAGAATGGCACAGTGGTGAACACTCATGCCTGACGTTAAGAAGGACCTGGGTTCGATTCCCCAGCTCTGGTGCCTGTCCTTCCCTACTGGCCCACATCACCCCCTCGTGTACTGTGTTGACCCTAATATGCACTCTATGCACTCAGCATGTACTCCTTATTAAGCAGCACTTGCCCCAACACTCCGTGTGGAAAAACCGGGGGCCTTCGTCTTTGAGTGTTTGCGTGTCTCTGTGTATGTGTGCACATGTATAGGTGCTCGCTAACAGCACTTGTTCCTAAAGTCTGTTAAGGCCATACGGGGGAAATCTTTGTCAGTTGTGCACATGCATTCCGTGCGTACACGTGCTCCACATGTGGAGGGAGCGGTTAGTCCAGTGATTGGCGCAGTGCCATTAGTTCAATGCCTGCTCATGACAAGCATCTGAACTGTTCCTGGGGCTCCCGTAGGTTAACTTGGCACCACGGTGACTAGGAGATGTTAACATCCTCGCCTGCCACACAGGAGGTCGTCAGTTCGATCCCGGCCCTGACGCCTGCTGCTGTATAATTTGGAGTTTGCGGTGTCTCTCTCCGCGTGGAATTTATTCCGGGCACTCCAGTTTTCCCCTCCACGTGTATAATCACGCGCGTAGAGTACTTGGCTGCTAGACATTTCTTCGTGAGACGCCACACAGTTGAGCAGTCATTTGTCGCCAGGTCACTCGGGTTTTTCCCCTCCAAATTTATAATGAACATGCGTTTTAGAGTATTTGGCTGCTGTACATTTCCACATGATAAGCCACTTTGTTGAGCTATCATTTGTGGGCAGGTCACATCTGAAAAAGAGCTATTTAGCTCAGTGGGCCTTACCTGGTAAAATAGTTCAAGTTCGTTTTAAATAAGTGCGTCGGGTAAATGTCAATACTGGGGAGACGAAGGCAGCCGGGCGTGGTGCCGGCCACCCCACCCTCTGCCATGCCAGCCTTCGTAGATGCTCGCGAGCAGCACTTGTCCCCACAGCCTGTGTGTGCCGCACGGGTGATCTTTATCTTAGCGTCCAAATATGTGTTTCTCCATATCATCTCAAGTTTCCCACCGAACGAATGTGCAGCTGCTTGCGCCTCCGCGTTGTGCACAAATGTGGCGGCCGGGAGTGTGAACGCTCACGAATAGTCTCTGCACCTTTGGAAGTCTGTGGATCCCTTGACTGCAGTCTGAACGTCTCGTCAATTAAAATATAGGCCGTGTGTGTGAGCCAACTAGTTCTCACGAGTGCCTGACCGTTGTATGGTTTTTTTCTTATGGCAAAGGGATGAGATCCGTGCTGTGCAGGCCACGTGAGGGGGGGAGCTATCAAAGGGGTTTGTGGGAAGAATTCCTGCAGTTAAGAGACAGGGTGACAGTTGATGTCCAGTTTTCTGTCTCCGTGGCTCTTACGCTTTTAATGTGGAGGGCGCGTGAACGCGGCTCTGCCAGCCTTGGCCGGTTTACGAGGGGGCAATCGATATTGTCTGCAGCCTGGTAGAAGAAGTGGTGCTACAGCAGAGAGGGCAAGTGTACAGTTGTAAGGATATGGCTCTTGAGATACCACATTTAACATCTTAATAGATATGATCGATAGATTATATATCAGCAATATTTGCAGAGCGATGTAATTGTCGAGTTTGCTTGGAGTTAATGGGGGAATCTAAAATAAAACCTCCTGAGAAATCGGGACAAGCCTCTTACTCACCAGACCTGGCTTCCAGTGCCTTCCACATGTCTCCTCAGTTAAAGACTCTACTTTCCCAGAAAGATATCTTCCAGTGACAATGAAGCAATGTGTGCTGTGAGCGAGTGTTTTTTTTTACGAGAGAGACCGAGAATTCATCTGGATAGAGATTAAAGCCTTGGGACATCAATGGACTGAAGTGGATTTTAAAGCAAGTGAACCGTGTATCACGTGTATGAGAACAACTCCCCGGGATCTACAAGCGGAGGTTGTGATGAGCCTTCTCATTCTCAGGCATGGGGATATTGTGGACGAAGTGAATGCGCCCGCCTCTTTCCGTCACTGGCATTGAACACCGCCTCCTTCACGGTTTCCGGGGAGGTGTGGACTCGGTATCGGTCCATAATAGCAGCTCCGTAAAGCAGTCATTAAATTGATCCCATTTACCCTCGGCGTCAGGGGAAGGGAGGAGTGCAGGGGGTGATGTCAACCCCAGCTGGAAGCGATGATCATATTCTCACTCATAAAATGAACATCTCGCTGAAGGTTGGCTGTTGCGGGTTTGAATGCGTTCCAACGTGGGTGTCTGTATCCACAATGGAAGGACAGCAATGGAGTTCACCGATGACAAGCTCCAGATCCGCCCCACGGTAGAACCCGGCATCAAGGACATTGCCTCATATTTGCCGCCCCACCACTACGTAGACCAGCAAGATGTTCGGACTTGGATCTGGCAAAGTGTGTAGATTCAACGATGTTGATGACAAGCCCATGCGTGGACCGTGCAAAACTGTAGCCACCCCCTTATTGTTCAGCCGATCCTGGCCCATGCCTTCCCATCCTTCGTAAGTGCTTGTGTCGTGACCCACTCAGACATTAAAGTCGCCATAATTTAAATGACTCTCTCTCTCGAGGGGCCACTTTAGTCAATGCCTGGGAGAGGTCATAGAAGGCATCTGGCTCATCAGCCTTGCCGGCGTGCCTGCACCGATATAAGTGACAACCTATTAAAATTCATACAAACGTACGCTTACGCGCATGCAATTACACACATACATACACGCGCAAAGACAAAGATCTCCCGTGTAGCCTTAACAGACTGTTGGGGCAAGTGCTGTAAAGGCCGGCAAGGGACACGAGGGGTGGGTGACCAGCACCGTGCCTGGCCGCCTTTGTCTCCCCAGTGGCGCTGTTTACACACCGCACCAGGTACTAATTTTATGCTGAGTCGCCCTAGCGGAGGCCCAGGACTGATTCAGATTCTGGTGTCAGCGGCCACGAGCGGGAATTTAACTTGGGTGGCCGGGTTCACAGCGCAACGCTGAACTACCGCTCCCCATTGCGTACACACACGCACGCGCACACACGCACGCACGCAGCTTGTCCTGTGAGAGTGCCGAGTCAGCGCTCCGTTGCGATGGCACTGGGGAGGTGTTTGTGGTGGGGGGAGCAGGCGGGGTGCTTTCTGAGAGGCTCCGCAAGGCGATGGCTGTGGGGCCCCACTCCGCTAAGAGCCCTCCACGCTCTTTTATAACGAGTCGCCGAGGGCCGTTGGGGGTGCCGCCCGAGGTCTCCCCGTATTCATTAATGGGCTTCACCTGCCACGTGGAAGAGAGCCCTTTTTTTTAGCCCGAGGAACACTTTGGTAGCTTTGCGTGGGGCAAAGCTACCAAAGCAGCGCAGTGGCGCACCGCTCTTGCATCTGCAGGCACAACGCAACGCGCGGGTGCCATTGGTCTGCAACAAAAAAAAATGACCAAATGTATAAACACCCCTACGACGTAGGTATACGGACCGTACGATAAACCCGGCGACCTGAGTTCGATTCCAGGACACGGCTGGCCAACGGTGGAGAATACCTAAACCGGTCCTGTGTCTCCCTAGATCAACTCGGCCTTAAAAAGGCTGCCTGGTGCGGTGTGAACATCGGCACTGGAGAGACAAAGGCGGCCGGGCGCGGTGCTAGCCACTGCATTACCTTTGTGCGCCGTGCTGGCCTTTACAGGCGCTCGCTTACGATGCTTGCCCAAAGAGTCTGTTAAAGCTATGGGGGGGGGGGCATCTTTGTGCATGTGAATGCCAGGAGCCCCCAGGTGTCGATGGCTTTGACGAGCAGGCGTACCTGGACGGGGGACGCTGGCGGGAGGGCGTGGATGGGGACGACCCCTACCGCAGGTTCGCCTTCAACCAGCGCGCCAGCGACGGCCTGTCCAGCACCCGCGCCCTGCGCGACGCACGCCACTACCGGTAGGACGCCCACCAGCCATACAACACGCAATCAACACGCATACAACACGCATACAACACCCATACAACATGCATACAACACCCATACAACACCCATGCAACACGCATACAACACGCATACAACACGCATACAACACTCATACAACACCCATGCAACACGCATACAACACGCATACAACACGCATACAACACGCATACAACACCAATACAACACGCGTACAACACCCATACAACACGCATACAACACGCATACAACACGCATACAACACTCATACAACACCCATGCAACACGCATGCAACACGCATACAACACGCATACAACACTCATACAACACCCATGCAACACGCATACAACACGCATACAACACGCATACAACACGCATACAACACCAATACAACACGCGTACAACACGCATACAACACCCATACAACACGCAATCAACACGCATACAACACCCATACAACACGCGTACAACACGCATACAACACGCATACAACACCCATACAACACGCATACAACACGCATACAACATGCATACAACATCCACACAACATGCACACAACACCCATACAACACGCATACAACACCCATACAACACGCATACAACACACATACAACACGCATACAACACGCATACAACACCCATACAACACGCATACAACACACGTACAACACGCGTACAACACGCGTACAACACGCATACAACACGCATACAACACGCATACAACACGCATACAACACGCGTACAACACCCATACAACATGCATACAACACCCATACAACACGCATACAACACGCGTACAACACGCGTACAACACGCATACAACACGCGTACAACACGCGTACAACACCCATACAACACGCGTACAACACGCGTACAACACGCATACAACACTCATACAACACGCATACAACACCCATACAACACTCATACAACACCCATACAACACCCATACAACACGCATACAACACGCATACAACACGCATACAACACCCATACAACACGCATACAACACCCCGTACAACACGCGTACAACACCCATACAACACGCATACAACACCCGTACAACACGCGTACAACACGCGTACAACACGCGTACAACACCCATACAACACGCATACAACACCCATACAACACGCATACAACACGCATACAACACCCATACAACACCCATACAACACGCATACAACACCCATACAACACTCATACAACACGCATACAACACCCATACAACACGCATACAACACCCATACAACACCCATACAACACGCATACAACACGCATACAACACCCATACAACACCCATACAACACCCATACAACACGCATACAACACGCATACAACACCCATACAACATGCATACAACACGCATACAACACCCATACAACACCCATACAACACCCATACAACACGCATACAACATGCATACAACACCTGTACAACACCCATACAACACCCGTACAACATGCATACAACACGCATACAACACGCGTACAACATGCATACAACACCCATACAACACGCATACAACACCCATACAACACGCGTACAACACCTGTACAACATGCATGCAACACCCATACAACACTCATACAACACCCGTACAACACCCATACAACACCCATACAACACCCATACAACACCTGTACAACACCCATACAACACGCATACAACACCCATACAACACGCATACAACACCCATACAACACGCGTACAACACCTGTACAACACCCATACAACACCCGTACAACACCCATACAACACCCATACAACACCCATACAAACATGCATACAACACCCATACAACACACGTACAACACACATACAACACGCGTACAACACGCGTACAACACCTGTACAACACCATAACAACACGCATTCAACACGCATACAACACGCGTACAACACGCATACAACACGCCTACAACACCTGTACAACACCTGTACAACACCCATACAACACGCGTACAACACCTGTACAACACCCATACAACATGCATACAACACGCATACAACACGCATACAACACCCAAACCCATACAACACCCAAACCCATACAACACCCAAACCTATACAACACCCATAACCATATAACACCCAAACCTATACAACACTTATACTCATACAACACCCATACAACAACAGCAACCTTATAACATCATTATCCATATGTCTATACCCATACAACACCATACCCATATAACCGCCACAGCGATACAACAACCATAACCATACAACACCCAAACCAATACAACAACTAATTTAGGCCATTTCCAGGAGCGACAATTGCTATGGAATAATCTGCACCACTCTGCTGCACCTATACAACCGCTCGCAGCACATACTGTCTACAGGTAGCACAACCAACAACAATCCACCACCACAACTCCTGCCAACCCCATACAGCACCCATGCAACAATAACTGTACAACCATAGAACACACACGTGTCGCTCGCATGTAATCTCTGCGTGTGGGTTTTTGTGCGTGTTCATGCATGCGGTCGAGTGGTGGCAAAACGATTAGCACAAACCCAGTGAACCGAGTTCCTTTCCCAGCCACGGCTTATGTCGGCAGCGATTATCCGAACCGGTGCTGGGCCTCCCCTAGGGTCGACCCATCCTTGCACAGCATGATGCCAGGTGCGGTTTGTAAACGTCAACGCTGGGGAGACAAAGGCTGCAGGGTGTGATGCTGACCACCCACCTGCCTCCCATGCTCGCCACACTCACCTTCATAGGTCGTTTGCCGTAACAGCACTTTCTCCACCAATCTGTGCAGCCTACGTGGAGGGATATTTGTCTTTGTACGTGTAGATGCTCAACCATCCACTATGACCAGGACCTCCCCTCCACCAGCATCATCATCACGTTCCACAACGAAGCACGCTCAGCTCTGCTCCGGACCCTGCGCAGGTAAAGTAAAATAAAGCCCTGGTTCCCCAAGTTGCTCCGCAGTCAATTTGTTAATAAGCTATAGAAACCAATTTTTTTTATTTTATTTTACCAGGTAAGGCCCACTGAGCTCTGTATCTCTTTTCAGAAGCGACCTGGCTATCGCAAATGATAGCTCACTGAGGGTGGCTTATCATCGTGTGGAAATTTCTAAGCAGCCCATTAAATATAAACGCATGGTGATTCTAAATGTGTGGGGGAAACAACCGGAGTACCTGGATCCAAATTAACGCGACCACGGGGAGAACATGCAAACTCCAAATATACATGTGCCGGGATCGAACCCACGACCTCCCATATACCGGGCGAGGTAGTTAACATCTCACCACCATGGCAACATGTTAATCCATTGCAGAGAGCATATTACTTTAGTCAGGTCCAATCTCTAATTTCAGGTCATCGCTAGATTACAGTTGCTGAGACAATTACTTAGACAGCAGCAGAGAATACGCCCGGTTGGGGTTACTTTTTAGGCCAATTGCTTTCTGAACGTGAGTACGTTTTTTTTCTCTCGAAGAGAATTTAGAGCGACGGGAATGATGGAGTCAGCAGCTTGGCAACGAGAACAGTCCAGACGGTGGAGGGCAGCCAATGAGAGACGGACCCACTCCCCCACCGAGTGAACGTGGTCGTGTCAACCAAGGCCTCGGTTACTTTTCATGGGGAGGGGGGGGGGTGCAGAGAGAAAGATGAGAGGGGGGGGCGGGGTAGGCTGGGGCGAGTCCGTGGAGCACTTTAAAGACGGCAGGTGATGTTGGAGCCTGCTTGAGATGCTGAGCGCTTAGGCAATTTCCCCCCTCGCAGCTCACCACCTCCCGACGATTTCCTGAATTGTCACGATTCGCGGTCACGATAAGATTTACGTGAATGGAGGTTGAACTTCTTTCGCGCCCTACGTGGCCAACCGTGCTAAACGGAGGTGCGAAATATGTATGATTGTGTTTACTGTCTCGTGTGCATTGTTGATCCTTGTTATAGTGTGCCATCGGTCTAAAGGCACAAGAGCGATAAGAGTTGCGCGTGAGGATCCTTGATCACTTACAACTCTGATTTCATGGTGGCAGCCAGGGAGGATGTATAATTTGTATAGGTAGATTTTTTTTTTTTAATGTAAACAATTTCGATTTAAAGCTTTCGTGACTGCAATTGATAAAATAAAATAACACAATAATGAGAATATTGTGTTATTTTATTTGATCAATTTATTATTTTATTCTCATTCTACGTGACTTTACCGAAAGAACCAAAGAAGATGAATTGACGTGCAATTCGTCGCACGCATGCATGAGCGCAACGGCCGGGGGATTAGTGGAGATGGAGCGTTGCAAGCCCCATAGAATGTGTGAAGCCAGTAGGGTCTGGGAATCGGAGCTCTGAATCAATATTTGCCAATCAAATGTAGATTCGATATTAAATACTGATTAGATGTGTTTTTGATCGGCTACCAATCAAATATCGAATTGATTACAAGGTCCTGCTATTGACCTACAAGACTGTCAATGGGTTAGCACCCACATTACTTCCAGGAACTGATACACTTCAATACACCACCAGCAAGAACCTTGAGATTTCTGATCTCCTTCGTATTCCGAGGTCAAGGCTCCGTTCCCGGGGTGATCAGGCTTTTGCCAGTGCAGCTCCGCAGTCTACGGAACGCGTTGGCCTCTGATAATTAGAAGGCAAACATAATATTTACTGCTTTTTAAATATGCCCTGAAAGCTCACTTCTTTAAAATAGACTTTTTCCCCCATGCAGTTTTGGCCATTTACGCTGCTGGCTCCGTCTTATTACCCTACTTTCCATACACGGCGTATTGGGATCCACGGGTGAAATGCACCTTTCAAATGTAAATTACTGTCATTATCGCAGCCTGCGAGCCATTGTCCCCGAGTGATGCCGCGCCTCTGATTTCTTTGCCCTGACCGTGTTGCCAGCGTTCTGGGACGCACGCCGCTCGACCTCATCCAGGAGATCATCCTCGTGGACGACTTTAGTGACGATCGTGAGTCACTCCTCTCCGCCCTCTCCCCCCCCCAAACACGCGCATGTGTGTAAGCGTGCGTGTGTGTGGGTGGGGAGCGGTAGTGTAGAGGTTAGCGCGCTGCACTACAAACCCGGCGACCCAAGTTCGATTCCCGCTCACGGCCAAAACCAGTGACGATTATCTGAACCGGTCCTGGGCCTCCCCTAGGTCGACTCAGCCTCAAATGAGTACCTGGTGCGTTGTGTAAACATCGTCACTAGCGAGACAAAGGCGGCCAGGTGTGGTGTTGGCGACCCGCCCCCTCGTGTGCTGTTCCGGCCTTCATAGGTGCTCACTAACAGCACTTACCCCACCAGACTGTTCAGGCTATACGGGGGGGGGGGGGGTCTTTGTCTTTTGTGCAATACGGCAGCAGCAGCAGCACCACCACCACATTGTTTCACTCTCAGTCCCTCCCTATTCACCGCATCACCGATTAGCACGGTTGGTTACGTATGGTGCAAAATAAGTTCAACATACAAACATTCAATCATGCGGGGCCCCCGTCTCTCACCAACCACCGCTGCCATCCACCAACTACCGGGCCGCATGTCTCCCTACTCCAAACACGTGTCGGGGCAGTGCTCATCTCTGTTGGTGGCCCTGAGCCAAGTGTAGATATTCCACATTCCAATGACAAGGTTAGTCTCCAATATAGGATGAACGCGGACGGCCTCCGACAAAGTAGGCTTCATTTTATTGTCGGCTCCGGCGAGAGTCGATAATAAACGCTGCTAAACTCTGGAACGCTGCATATTGTAATGCTATTTCATTACAATATGCAGCTCTGTTAAATTCAATGTCAACCACCTACTGCTCGTCGACCGCTTATCACATCCGAGACGTCGCATTTCGCGTAAACGAGCTCGAACTTTGCCGCTGGCCGCTCGATCGCTCCAAACGCGACCGGCAAGATGGGGAACGCATCCTTCGTCAGCGTCGTTCAATAAGACGCACTCGCCCATGCCGCCGCGTCGACAGACTTACGGGAACATCGCTAAATCGTCTGTCGTGGAAAAAGCCACCGCGTGTGACGTAAGTGTAGTGGATTCAACTGAGTCGCGAGTCGTACTCTTTGGAGGCAACACATCTTTATCAACACCAACACATGAACGCAAAGGGGTTACTGCCCCTTTGCCAGATAACCTGTGGTGGTGGACCACCAGGCTAACTACGCTAGTTACTGGGAGTAGCTACAACGGACAGGACCCTGGCTTGGGTCCTCGTCCACGTGTTTGTGACTTCTTCTTGGATGTAGAACGTAGATCGTAGATCTCCAGATGACAACAGCAATGCCGAGAGCCCCGGTCCCTGTGGGGACCCGGTTTATATACCCCCGGGTCGTGGCTGGCCCCGCCCTTGGTCACGACCACCTTCGAGAAACCTCTTGTCGTTTCTCGACGCTTCCCATAGGATCTCACCCTGACACGTGACCACCCCCAAGCCCCCACCTGGGGCCCTTGTGTAGATCTTACTCGTCACGTGCCTTCCAGGGTCAACCAGAGTGCCATGGCCTGGGGTAACTTCATCCCATGGCTGACACTCTCACACTCCCTCCTGTAGGAGTCAGCACTGCACGCTACGTGTGGTGCCACTGAGCGCTATGACCCAGCACTCACCTAGCCCCCTCTAGGGCTGGTACTACACCCACCCACGGGGTGTCCGCAATGACAATGCATCGCACGCCGTGGCTCGCTAGGGCCGGCACCACACAGTGACATCCGCGATGTCACTACATAAGTAATGGATAGTAATGTAAAATAATGTAATGTCCCACCATTTACCATCACCATCTTCTGATAACCACAACCACCCCCTCTATACCACCACCACCCTCCGCACTCGACTGCTTGCTATTGCCACAAAGTTTACTTTTACCTCTTTGAAGGATGTGCGCCGTGCTTGTCTCTTTTCCTATGTGCCGACCGGAAGCCGCGGACTGTGAGCTGCTGAGTTCGCTGCCCAAGGTGGTGTGTCTACGGAACTCACAGAGGGAGGGTACGTGTACACGCGTTTGCGCGCGCGTGTGGGCGCGAATGTGCACGTGTGTGGAGCGATGGCCCGTATGCATGTATGTTGAACTTCTTGCTCACCGTTCTTAACCAACCGGGCTAATCGGAGGCCCAGTAGTTATCACACTGCCCTACGATCCCGACCGCCCAAAGTTCGATTTCCGCTCACGGCCAACAACAGTGATGAATATCTGAACCAGTTCCCAGCCACCACTAGGTCGACTCACCCTTAAATTAATACCTGGAGCACAGATGAGCGTAGATGTAAACATCAGCGCTTGGGAGACAAAGGGTGTGGTGCTGGCCACACACACCCCCACGTGCGCCGTGACGGCCTTCCTAGGTTGTTCGCTCACGGCACTTTTCCCCAACAGCCGGCGAAGGCTGCATGAAGGAATCTTTGTATTTGTCTGTGCGTGTTCGCGTACAGGGGAGCGATAGTGTAGCGGTTAGCGCGCTGTGCTATGAACCCGGCGACCCGAGTTCGATTCCCGTTCACAGCCAACATCGGTGACGATTATCTGAATTGGTACCTGGGCTTCCTTTCAAATGAGTACCTGGTGCGGTGTGTAAAGATCTCCACTAGGGAGACAAAGGTGGCCAGACGTGGTGCTGGCCACCCACCCCCATCGTGCGCTGTGCCGGCCTTCATAGGTGCTCGCTAACAGCACTCGCCCCGACAGTCTGTTCAAGCCATTACAGGGGATCTTTGTCTTTATGCTTACAGGGTTGATCCGGTCTCGTGTGCGAGGTGCGGACGCTGCTCACGCGCCCGTGCTCACGTTTCTCGACAGCCACTGCGAGGCCAACACGGCCTGGCTGCAGCCTCTCCTGCAGCGCCTTCACAGAGTAGGCATTCGTACACACACGCACTTATTTTCGCACTTTAACCTAGCCAACCGTGCTAATCGGAGGTGCGGTTCAAGCGCAAAAAAACATTCCCCGACATCGTGTCCCCTGTATAGCAACCTCGACTGTTGAGCCAAATGCTGTTAGCTGCTAGCGAGTGCCAATGAAGGCCCGTATGGTATGCACACACGCACACTATCTCATTTTATATTTATGGAGCTCCTTAGCTAAAGGCGCTTTCCATAGTTTAAAAAGCGGTCACAACAACAGAGTGATTTAGATGGCAGGGGGTAAGGGCCGAGTGACCGTTAACAGAGGGCACGCAGGGGGTCACGAAAGGGCTTACAGGGGAGGGACGGGAAGGGGTGGAGGGGCGAGGGGAGGGAAGAGGAAGGGAATGGGCAATGGAGAAGATGTGATCTCCGTGTCATTAGGATTACACATTGCAATTATCGTCCCATACAGACAACACTTGACAACACCCGTCTGAAAAAGTTACGAGGATTTTACTGGGTAAACAAGTGTAATAAAATAGAAGTAATACACGCATTACAACACACGCAATGTCAAAGATTTCTCCTCTAGCCTTCTCTAACAGACTGTTGGGGCAAGTGCTGATAGCGAGTACCTATGAAGGCCAACACGGCATACTACGACGGGGTGGGTGGCCAGCACCATGCCTGGCCACCTTTGTCTCCCCAGTGACGATGTTTGCATATCGCATTAGGTACTCATTTACGGCTTAGTTGATCTAGGGGAGGCCCAGGACCAGTTAAAATATTCGCCACTGTTGGTGATCTTGAGCTGGAATTGACCTCGAGTCACTGGGTTAGTAGCGCAGTGCACTCACCAGAATGCTACTCACCACACATATATAGCCACATTATTGCATAAACACATTTATGTATGTACATTGAACTTCTTTCGCAAGGTACGCAGCCTACTGTGCTAATCGGAGGTGTGGGAGAAGGACAACAAACTTAACACAGAAGGCACTTCTAAAGAAATGAGTTTTCAATCTAGACGATTTAAAAGTGCATAGCTGCAGTGGCTTCCTCATATCAAAAGGAAGAGCATTCCAGACAGCCGCAGAAGTGCATCTGAAATCACGCGATGCACTGACCGTTTTTATAACGACATACGCTCAAAACATGTGCAAAGTCAAACAGACATATACACAAGTGTGTGACACGTGTGGTACTTATGGTGTCCTGACACGGCCATTATGACCCCTCCCACCTCCACCAAGGCCTTCATGCACTGTGGTTGTGTGAAGCGAAAGCGCGTGGCCTGGCTGTGACGCTCTGGCCCCTCTTGTTCCCAGGAACCCACCAGGGTGGTGAGCCCCATCATAGACGTCATCAGCATGGACACCTTCAACTATGTCCCAGCCTCATCCGACCTGCGTGGCGGTGAGGGGGCTCTGATTGTTGGTATTGGTGGTGGTGAGGGGGCTCTGTTTGTTGGTATTGGTGGTGGTGAGGGGGCTCTGTTTGTTGGTATTGGTGGTGGTGAGGGGCTCTGATTGTTGGTATTGATGGTGGTGAGGGGGCACTGATTGTTGGTATTGGTGGTGGTGAGAGGGCTCTGATTGTTGGTATTGGTGGTGGTGAGGGGGCTCTGTTTGTTGGTATTGGTGGTGGTGAGGGGGCTCTGTGTGTTGGTATTGGTGGTGGTGAGGGGGCTCTGATTGTTGGTATTGGTGGTGGTGAGGGGGCTCTGATTGTTGGTATTGGTGGTGGTGAGGGGGTTCTGTTTGTTGGTATTGGTGGTGGTGAGGGGGCTCTGATTGTTGGTATTGGTGGTGGTGAGGGGGTTCTGTTTGTTGGTATTGGTGGTGGTGAGGGGGCTCTGTGTGTTGGTATTGGTGGTGGTGAGGGGGCTCTGATTGTTGGTATTGGTGGTGGTGAGGGGTCTCTGATTGTTGGTATTGGTGGTGGTGAGGGGGCTCTGATTGTTGGTATTGGTGGTGGTGAGGGGGCTCTGATTGTTGGTATTGGTGGTGGTGAGGGGGCTCTGATTGTTGGTATTGGTGGTGGTGAGGAGGCTCTGATTGTTGGTATTGGTGGTGGTGAGGGGGCTCTGTGTGTTGGTATTGGTGGTGGTGAGGGGTCTCTGATTGTTGGTATTGGTGGTGGTGAGGGGTCTCTGATTGTTGGTATTGGTGGTGGTGAGGGGGCTCTGATTGTTGGTATTGGTGGTGGTGAGGGGGCTCTGTTTGTTGGTATTGGTGGTGGTGAGGGGGCTCTGATTGTTGGTATTGGTGGTGGTGAGGAGGCTCTGATTGTTGGTATTGGTGGTGGTGAGGGGGCTCTGTTTGTTGGTATTGGTGGTGGTGAGGGGGTTCTGTTTGTTGGTATTGATGGTGGTGAGGGGGCTCTGATTGTTGGTATTGGTGGTGGTGAGGGGGCTCTGATTGTTGGTATTGGTGGTGGTGAGGGGGCTCTGATTGTTGGTATTGATGGTGGTGAGGGGGCTCTGATTGTTGGTATTGGTGGTGGTGAGGGGGCTCTGATTGTTGGTATTGGTGGTGGTGAGGGGGCTCTGATTGTTGGTATTGGTGGTGGTGAGGGGTCTCTGTTTGTTGGTATTGGTGGTGGTGAGGGGGCTCTGATTGTTGGTATTGGTGGTGGGGCTCTGATTGTTGGTATTGGTGGTGGTGAGGGGGCTCTGTTGGTATTGATGGTGGTGAGGGGCTCTGTTTGTTGGTATTGATGGTGGTGAGGGGGCTCTGATTGTTGGTATTGGTGGTGAGGGGGTTCTGTTTGTTGGTATTGGTGGTGGTGAGGGGGCTCTGTTTGTTGGTATTGGTGGTGGTGAGGGGGCTCTGTTTGTTGGTATTGGTGGTGGTGAGGGGGCTCTGATTGTTGGTATTGGTGGTGGTGAGGGGGCTCTGATTGTTGGTATTGGTGGTGGTGAGGGGGCTCTGTGTGTTGGTATTGGTGGTGGTGAGGGGCTCTGATTGTTGGTATTGGTGGTGGTGAGGGTGCTCTGTTTGTTGGTATTGGTGGTGGTGAGAGGGCTCTGATTGTTGGTATTGGTGGTGGTGAGGGGGCTCTGATTGTTGGTATTGGTGGTGGTGAGGGGCTCTGATTGTTGGTATTGGTGGTGGTGAGGGGGCTCTGTTTGTTGGTATTGGTGGTGGTGAGGGGGCTCTGATTGTTGGTATTGGTGGTGGTGAGGGGGCTCTGTTTGTTGGTATTGGTGGTGGTGAGAGGGCTCTGATTGTTGGTATTGGTGGTGGTGAGAGGGCTCTGTTTGTTGGTATTGGTGGTGGTGAGGGGGCACTGATTGTTGGTATTGGTGGTGGTGAGAGGGCTCTGTTTGTTGGTATTGGTGGTGGTGAGGGGCTCTGATTGTTGGTATTGATGGTGGTGAGGGGGCACTGATTGTTGGTATTGGTGGTGGTGAGGGGTCTCTGATTGTTGGTATTGGTGGTGGTGAGGGGGCTCTGATTGTTGGTATTGATGGTGGTGAGGGGGCTCTGTTTGTTGGTATTGGTGGTGGTGAGAGGGCTCTGATTGTTGGTGGTGGTGGTGGTGAGGGGGCTCTGTTTGTTGGTATTGGTGGTGGTGAGGGGGCTCTGATTGTTGGTATTGGTGGTGGTGAGAGGGCTCTGTTTGTTGGTATTGGTGGTGGTGAAGGGGCTCTGTTTGTTGGTATTGGTGGTGGTGAGGGGCTCTGTTTGTTGGTATTGGTGGTGGTGAGGGTGCTCTGTTTGTTGGTATTGGTGGTGGTGAGGGGGCTCTGATTGTTGGTATTGGTGGTGGTGAGGGGGCTCTGATTGTTGGTATTGGTGGTGGTGAGGGGGCTGTGTTTGTTGGTATTGGTGGTGGTGAGGGGGCTCTGTTTGTTGGTATTGGTGGTGGTGAGGGGGCTCTGATTGTTGGTATTGGTGGTGGTGAGGGGGCTGTGTTTGTTGGTATTGGTGGTGGTGAGGGGGCTCTGATTGTTGGTATTGGTGGTGGTGAGGGGGCTCTGATTGTTGGTATTGGTGGTGGTGAGAGGGCTCTGATTGTTGGTATTGGTGGCGGTGAGGGGGCTCTGATTGTTGGTATTGGTGGCGGTGAGGGGCTCTGATTGTTGGTATTGGTGGTGGTGAGGGGGCACTGATTGTTGGTATTGGTGGTGGTGACGGGCTCTGTTTGTTGGTATTGGTGGTGGTGAGGGTGCTCTGATTGTTGGTATTGGTGGTGGTGAGGGTTCTCTGTTTGTTGGTATTGGTGGTGGTGAGGGTGCTCTGATTGTTGGTATTGGTGGTGGTGAGGGGCTCTGTTTGTTGGTATTGGTGGTGGTGAGGAGGCTCTGATTGTTGGTATTGGTGGTGGTGAGGAGGCTCTGTTTGTTGGTATTGGTGGTGGTGAGGAGGCTCTGATTGTTGGTATTGGTGGTGGTGAGGGGGCTCTGTTTGATCGTATTGGTGGTGGTGAGGGGGCTCTGTTTGTTGGTATTGGTGGTGGTGAGGGGCTCTGTTTGTTGGTATTGGTGGTGGTGAGGGGGCTCTGATTGTTGGTATTGGTGGTGGTGAGAGGGCTCTGATTGTTGGTATTGATGGTGGTGAGGGGCTCTGATTGTTGGTATTGGTGGTGGTGAGAGGGCTCTGATTGTTGGTATTGATGGTGGTGAGGGGCTCTGATTGTTGGTATTGGTGGTGGTGAGGGGGCTCTGATTGTTGGTATTGGTGGTGGTGAGGGGGCTGTGTTTGTTGGTATTGGTGGTGGTGAGAGGGCTCTGATTGTTGGTATTGGTGGTGGTGAGAGGGCTCTGTTTGTTGGTATTGGTGGTGGTGAGGGGCTCTGATTGTTGGTATTGATGGTGGTGAGGGGGCACTGATTGTTGGTATTGGTGGTGGTGAGGGGTCTCTGATTGTTGGTATTGGTGGTGGTGAGGGGGCTCTGATTGTTGGTATTGATGGTGGTGAGGGGGCACTGATTGTTGGTATTGGTGGTGGTGAGGGGGCTCTGTTTGTTGGTATTGGTGGTGGTGAGGGGGCTCTGATTGTTGGTATTGGTGGTGGTGAGGGGGCTCTGATTGTTGGTATTGGTGGTGGTGAGAGGGCTCTGATTGTTGGTGGTGGTGGTGGTGAGGGGGCTCTGTTTGTTGGTATTGGTGGTGGTGAGGGGGCTCTGATTGTTGGTATTGGTGGTGGTGAGAGGGCTCTGTTTGTTGGTATTGGTGGTGGTGAAGGGGCTCTGTTTGTTGGTATTGGTGGTGGTGAGGGGCTCTGTTTGTTGGTATTGGTGGTGGTGAGGGTGCTCTGTTTGTTGGTATTGGTGGTGGTGAGGGGGCTCTGTTTGTTGGTATTGGTGGTGGTGAGGGGGCTCTGATTGTTGGTATTGGTGGTGGTGAGGGGGCTCTGATTGTTGGTATTGGTGGTGGTGAGGGGGCTGTGTTTGTTGGTATTGGTGGTGGTGAGGGGGCTCTGTTTGTTGGTATTGGTGGTGGTGAGGGGGCTCTGATTGTTGGTATTGGTGGTGGTGAGAGGGCTCTGATTGTTGGTATTGGTGGCGGTGAGGGGGCTCTGATTGTTGGTATTGGTGGCGGTGAGGGGCTCTGATTGTTGGTATTGATGGTGGTGGTGAGGGGGCTGTGTTTGTTGGTATTGGTGGCGGTGAGGGGGCTCTGATTGTTGGTATTGGTGGTGGTGGTGAGGGGGCTGTGTTTGTTGGTATTGATGGTGGTGGTGAGGGGGCTGTGTTTGTTGGTATTGGTGGTGGTGAGGGGTCTCTGTTTGTTGGTATTGATGGTGGTGGTGAGGGGGCTGTGTTTGTTGGTATTGGTGGTGGTGAGAGGGCTCTGTTTGTTGGTATTGGTGGTGGTGAGGGGTCTCTGATTGTTGGTATTGATGGTGGTGAGGGGTCTCTGTTTGTTGGTATTGGTGGTGGTGAGGGGGCTCTGATTGTTGGTATTGGTGGTGGTGAGGGGTCTCTGTTTGTTGGTATTGGTGGTGGTGAGGGGGCTCTGATTGTTGGTATTGGTGGTGGTGAGGGGGCTCTGATTGTTGGTATTGGTGGTGGTGAGGGGGCTCTGTTGGTATTGGTGGTGGTGAGGGTGCTCTGTTTGATCGTATTGGTGGTGGTGAAGATGCGCGGTATAAACAAAACAAAAAGCAAAATATTTCGCAATAATTATTCATTTTGACCGCTATTCGCAAACCCCGGTCGGACAATCTTGCGGGTTGGTGCGGTCAAAATCAGTTCTCGTGATGTCGAAGCAGGCGGAAGACGAACGTTCACACGAGCGGCTGAACACGAAGAAGCCGCACAGTCTGTTGCCGTACAGCAGCACCCGGCCTGATGACGATTGGCTGCTCCGTGTTGGTCGGACGGTCCCTCTGTTCATTTCCGGAATCGTTTCTTGGTGGACGGTGGCATCAACAGATAACGACTCGTGGTGTCACCACCGACACGTTCGAATGGCAAAGCAGCTGCTGAATCTAAGGGCAACTTCTGATGGAGAGTCCTGCAGCTCGCTCAAGGGCAACACAGCGACATCGTCAGACTGCAGCACAACAATACACAGTGGTGTTGCGTGTCATGCTGCACCGGTGTGCCGCCAACACGTCAATTTAACATTGGGGCTTTTACCATTCGTGGGTTGAATTACGTTCTGTACCCTCGCAATGCACACCGAGTCATGCACAGAGCGAAGGATGTGTTTGCGATGTACGCTAAATATATACGGTAACTGAGCTGCCGTGGTATACGTACGTATGTACGTTGAACTTCTTTCGCACCCTACATCCCCAACCGTGCTGATGCGGAGGTGTGGGAAATTCTCGAATCGCCCTGCTTCTCATCTATCCAGCTAACCCCATGGCTGGTGGATCCAGAGTTTCTTGGGATTTGTGGCCATAGTTTAAGCTTGTCATCCATTGTGGGAGAAGGTGCGGGGGGTGGGGGAGGGGGTGTGCTGTTTGACCATACTTCACCACGATGGTCAACGTCTCATTAATTAAAACAAAAATGTGTATAAACAAGCAGACACTGTACCACCTTCAAATATCTGCCCCTCTACATAAAAAACAAGTAAATATTATTTTCAAATATCGTCCTCTGGGAGTGTGCATGATTTCATTCGCATTGGTTCAACAAACGCAAAATCTGGACCGGTTTTGACTTCTCATCGTCTCATCGGCAGAGGAAGGCTTGGTTGAACCACCAGATGCCTATGAGCAAGCACCCTTTCTGTTAGATATGGGTCCTAGTTCAACACAAAACCGTGTAATACATAATAATGATTGTGTATTGTTACGTTTGTGTATGCTTCGCGTGTTCAGGGTTCGACTGGAGCCTGCACTTTAAATGGGAGCACCTTTCTCCAGAGCAGTCTGCCAAGAGGGAGGACCCCACACAGCCCATACGGTCCGTGTGTGTCCGTGTGTCTGTGTGCGTGTGTCCATGTGTATGCACATGTGTGTGCATATACCTGTTCATGTGCGTTTCACATACATGTGCACACATGTCCACACCAATGTGCACGTGTGTGTGCGCGCGTACATGGAGCGGTGTAGTTGCGCCTTTTGGCGTCATCTGGTCGAACACCGTATGAGACTAGGCTCTAAGAAAAGCTGTCTCTGGTGTGGACCAATCACTTTCAAGGACAATGCATAAATTATCGGAGTATTGTTTTTTGTTTGCATTTGACTGCAAGTATTGTGGTTAATGTTAACATGATTCCTCGCAAAAGGTGTCAGTTTTGTTGCCAGAAAAAAGGGGAAAAAACCCTGTTAGTATATTTTGGTACTGGCGAAGGAGGCCTCATGGTGTAGTGGTTATCGTCCTGCACTACGAACCTGGCGACCCGACTTCAGTTCCCACTCATGACCAATATTAGCGGTGCATATTTGAACCGGTCCTGGGGCTCCCCTAGGTCGACTCAGTCTTAATTAAGCACATGGTGAGGTGTGCAAATGTCAGCCCTGGAGAGAGAAAGGTGGCCAGGCGAGGCCGCTGGCCACACCACCCCCTCCGTGTGCCATGGCGGCCTGAATAGGTGCTCGCTAACAGCACTGACACCGACAGCCTGTTAAAAGTTATACTGGGGGATCTTTGTCTTTGTACATGTCGGTTGGTGGTTGTTGTTGTTTTTGTTGTGTGCGTCTTTGTCGGTGTCAAAGAGCACCTAGCAAGCGCCGTGGTGACATCGCCGCCACTTAGTGGCGAACGGCGGTTATTATTGTCATGTCCGATGGCTGTTGTTTATTGTGTTATGCGTCTGCGCGCGTGTGTTTCAGGACGCCTGTGATTGCCGGGGGGTTGTTCGCCATCCACCGCTCCTGGTTTGAGGAACTGGGAAAATACGACACAGCCATGGACATCTGGGGTGGAGAGAACCTGGGTAGGGGTTCACGCGTACATGTGCGTGTAGGTGTATCCGGGCGTGCGTACGTGCGTGAGCTTGCAGGCACCTGCGACTGCAGGCGTTCGTTTCGGCCGTATGTACACCCGTCGCTCTGGTTTTGGCTACCAGTCCTGTGCCACGTACTCCAGGCTACCACAGACCCAGATAATATCTGGGGAGAAGTAAAGTTAATCCCCGTGTGTGTTGCAAATGTGTACGTGTTTATGTTTGTGACTGTCCGTGCGTGCGTGTACATGTGTGTGCGTGTGCGATAGTGCGGTGGTTAGGGCACTGCGCTACAAACCCGGTGACTCGAGTTCCATTCCCGCTCACGGCCAATACCAATGATGATTATCTGAACTGGTCCTGAACCTTCCCTAGGTCGACTCAGCCTCAAATGAGTACCTGGTGCAGTGTGTAAACATCGCCACTGGGAGACAAAGACGGCCGGGCGTGGTGCTGGCCACCTACCCCCCTCATGTGCCGTGCCGGTCTTCATAGGTGCTCGCTAACAGCATTTTCCACAACAGTCTGTTGAGACTTTACGGGGGACCTTTGCCTTTGTGTGCGTGCACACATCTCTCACATGCATGTGGATCAGCGGTCAGCGTGCCGCGCTACGAACCCGGCGACCAGAGTTCGATTCCCGCTCACGGCCAACACCGGTGACGATTATGTGAACAGGTCCTTGGCTTCCCAGCGGTCCACTCAGCCTGCAAAGAGTACCTGGTGCGATGTGTAAAACATCAACATTGGGGAGACAAAGACTGACGGTCACGGGTGCTGACCACCCACCCCCTCGTGTGCTGTGCCGGCCTTCACTTGCCCTAACAGTCTGCTAAGGCTTTACATACGTAATAGATTTTTGGGTTCGGCTAAAAAACCCTCCTCCAGCAGTACAGCCAAACAAATTAAATGATCACGTGCACATTTGTCATTTGTTTTGGTACAGCTCAGCGGTAAATTGTAGAACAATTCCCCACATCCAAATATGGCAAATGGATGGGACATTTCGCTTGGAACTGCGTCAAGCGTCTCGAGCTGGAGACCAGGAAGTGGCGACGACTGTGGATATCGGGAGGGTTTTCACGAGAAAGATATTGCCCCAGACCATTCCAGTGGCCTCATCCAAAAATGTTAATGGCGCATCACGACACCGCACCGTGCGCGCGTGTGTCTTCACCGCTCGTGTCTTCACCGCGCGCGTGTCTTCACCGCTCGTGTCTTCACCGCTCGTGTTTTCACCGCGCGTGTCTTCACCGCGCGCGTGTCTTCACCGCTCGTGTCTTCACCGCTCGTGTCTTCACCGCTCGTGTCTTCACCGCTCGTGTCTTCACCGCGCGTGTCTTCACCGCTCGTGTCTTCACCGCTCGTGTCTTCACCGCTCGTGTCTTCACCGCTCGTGTCTTCACCGCTCGTGTCTTCACCGCGCGCAGAGATCTCCTTCCGCGTGTGGCAGTGCGGCGGGTCGCTGGAGATCATCCCGTGCAGCCGCGTGGGCCACGTCTTCCGCAAGCGCCACCCCTACACGTTCCCCGAGGGCAACGCCAACACCTACATCAAGTGAGTGGGCGGGCGAGCGGCCACGTAGCCTGGCGCCTCTCGGAGCGCTCGCCTACCCGAGCCCCTCGTTCAACTCGCGAAGCGAAGGGTTCGATTCCCCAGCCCCTGCTTCTGGAGTCGCTTGACTAGGCCTCTCGCCAAGACCCTGGGTACGGTGGTGGTGGTGGTGGCAGTAGCGGCGGTGGCGCGCGACTGCGATCCGGCGCTTTGAAGGCAAGGGTACGCAGGCATCTCCACTGCTGCCCCCACAGCTTGGGATTCCCTCCCACCCGGTTGATTCCTGCCACTCTCTTCCAGTCCAGATTTAAGTCCCGTGCCACCGATTTAACTACTTCCGCACGATGTCACGCTTCCACCTCCGTTCCAATAATCACCCGATTTATGCCCACATCACTTTGCACAATTAATTACCATGAAATATTGTGCAGCTTTAGTTTCCTTCAATCTTCTTGTAGAGATGACGGAGGCAAATGAGATCTCCTCTGCCTGTTTCCAAATCTCGTGCCAGCTTCACGGCTGCCGTTTCTCGTCGCCGCCCTGTGCTGGAGATCGTCCTTCACAGCGTCAATCTTGCGCATCATTGCTCTTCCTCCTGTTGCTTGTTCTGTGTTAACGTATCGCCACCGTGGTGGCGATACGTTAACAACCTCGCCTGGTATACAGGAAGGTCGTGGGTTCGATTATGACCCTGACGCCTGCTGTAGATTTGGAGTTTGCGTGTATCTCTGTCCCCGTGGTTCGGTGAATTTTTGCGTGGGTCCTTCGGTTTTTCCCTCCACATTTAGAATACATTTTACGAGTTTAGAGTACAGTGAAACCTTGGATTGCGAGCATCATTCGTTCCGGAAACGTGCTCGTGATCCAAAGCGAATTTCCCCATAAGAAATAATGGAAACTCGGATGATTCGTTCCACAACCCAAAAATACTCTATTCATATAAAAATGATTAATACAAAATAACTTTTTATATTTGGATTATTTAAATTTTATATAAAGTAATCAAATGTATTCATTACATTTCATCGTGGCTGGTGTGAGGGAGTACGACTTTCACTTGCAGTACAGTTACTAAAGAACAGTCACTACACTTGGACACAAAATAAAAAAAAAATGTTTTATGCACACACACGTGGTCACAACACTATACTTTAGTAAACAGTATACACGTGGTCACAACACTATAGTACTGTAGTAAACAGTATACACGTGGTCACAACACTATACTTTAGTAAACAGTATACACGTGGTCACAACACTATAGTACTGTAGTAAACAGTATACACGTGGTCACACCACTATAGTACTGTAGTAAACAGTATACACGTGGTCACAACACTATAGTACTATAGTAAACAGTATACACGTGGTCACAACACTATAGAAAACAGTATACACGTGGTCCCAACACTATAGTACTGTAGTAAACAGCATACACGTGGTCACAACACAATAGTACTATAGTAAACAGTACACACGTGGTCACAACACTATAGTACTGTAGTAAACAGAACACACGTGGTCACAACACTATAGTACTGTAGTAAACAGTATACACGTGGTCACAACACTATAGTACTAGAGTAAACAGTACACACGTGGTCACAACACTATAGTACTATAGTAAACAGTATACACGTGGTCACAACACTATACTTTAGTAAACAGTATACACGTGGTCACAACACTATAGTACTGTAGTAAACAGTATACACGTGGTCACAACACTATAGTACTATAGTAAACAGTATACACGTGGTCACAACACTATAGTACTGTAGTAAACAGTATACACGTGGTCACAACACTATAGTACTGTAGTAAACAGTATACACGTGGTAACAACACTATAGTACTGTAGTAAGCAGTATACACGTGGTCACAACACTATAGTACTGTAGTAAACAGTATAGACGTGGTCACAACACTATAGTACTGTAGTAAACAGTATACACGTGGTCACAACACTATAGTACTGTAGTAAACAGTATACACGTGGTCACAACACTATAGTACTGTAGTAAACAGTATACACGTGGTCACAACACTATACTGTAGTAAACAGTATACACGTGGTCACAACACTATAGTACTATAGTAAACAGTATACACGTGGTCACAACACTATAGTACTGTAGTAAACAGTATACACGTGGTCACAACACTATAGTACTGTAGTAAACAGTATACACGTGGTCACAACACTATACTGTAGTAAACAGTATACACGTGGTCACAACACTATAGTACTATAGTAAACAGTACACACGTAGTCACAACACTATAGTACCATAGTAAACAGTACACACGTGGTCACAACACTATAGTACTGTAGTAAACAGTATACACGTGGTCACAACACTATAGTACTGTAGTAAACAGTATACACGTGGTCACAACACTATAGTACTATAGTAAACAGTATACACGTGGTCACAACACTATAGAAAACAGTATACACGTGGTCCCAACACTATAGTACTGTAGTAAACAGTATACACGTGGTCACAACACTATAGTACTGTAGTAAACAGTATATACACGTGGTCACAACACTATAGTACTATAGTAAACAGTAAACACGTGGTCACAACACTATAGTACTGTAGTAAACAGTATACACGTGGTCACAACACTATAGTACTATAGTAAACAGTATACACGTGGTCACAAGACTATAGTACTATAGTAAACAGTATACACGTGGTCACAACACTATAGTACTATAGTAAACAGTATACACGTGGTCACAACACTATAGTACTATAGTAAACAGTATACACGTGGTCACAACACTATAGTACTATAGTAAACAGTATACACGTGGTCACAACACTATAGTACTATAGTAAACAGTATACACGTGGTCACAACACTATAGTACTGTAGTAAACAGTATACACGTGGTCACAACACTATAGTACTATAGTAAACAGTATACACGTGGTCACAACACTATAGTACTATAGTAAACAGTATACACGTGGTCACAACACTATAGTACTATAGTAAACAGTATACACGTGGTCACAACACTATAGTACTATAGTAAACAGTATACACGTGGTCACAACACTATAGTACTGTAGTAAACAGTATACACGTGGTCACAACACTATAGTAAACAGTATACACGTGGTCACAACACTATAGTACTATAGTAAACAGTATACACGTGGTCACAACACTATAGTACTATAGTAAACAGTATACACGTGGTCACAACACTATAGTACTATAGTAAACAGTATACACGTGGTCACAACACTATAGTAAACAGTATACACGTGGTCACAACACTATAGTACTGTAGTAAACAGTACACACGTGGTCACAACACTATAGTACTGTAGTAAAGAGTATACACGTGGTCACAAGACTATACTGTAGTAAACAGTACACACGTGGTCACAATACTATAGTACTATAGTAAACAGTATACACGTGGTCACAACACTATAGTACTGTAGTAAACAGTATACACGTGGTCACAACACTATAGTACTGTAGTAAACAGTATACACGTGGTCACAACACTATAGTACTGTAGTAAACAGTATACACGTGGTCACAACACTATAGTACTGTAGTAAACAGTAAACACGTGGTCACAACACTATAGTACTGTAGTAAACAGTATACACGTGGTCACAACACTATAGTACTGTAGTAAACAGTACACGCGTGGTCACAACACTATAGTACTATAGTAAACAGTATACACGTGGTCACAACACTATAGTACTGTAGTGAACAGTATACACGTGGTCACAACACTATAGTACTATAGTAAACAGTATACACGTGGTCACAACACTATAGTACTGTAGTGAACAGTATACACGTGGTCACAACACTATAGTACTATAGTAAACAGTATACGCTCGCACGGATGTTGACTATACGAGTGAGGCACGCCGACTGAGACCGAGCATGGGAGATGATTACCCACAATCCCGCAGCGAGAGAGAGAAGAACCATTGGCTCAGTTGTGATCACGTGACACTCGGCAGACAAAGCGATTACCCACAATCCCCCAGCGAGAGAGAAGAACCATTGGCTCAGTTGTGATCATGTGACGCTCGGCAGACAAAGCGTATTACTGTACACGTGCTGCTCGCATTGCAAGACGTCGCTCGTTTATCAAATTAATATTTATTTAAAAAATTTAGCTCGTCTTGCAAAACACTCGCAGACCAAGTTACTCGCAATCCAAGGTTTCACTGTACTTGGCTGCTATACAATTCCACGTGTTAAGGCACTTCGTTGAGCGATCATTTGTGATAAGCTAGGTTGCTTCTGAAAAAAAATAGCGATACAGTAATAGCTCAGTGGGCCTTACCTGGGTAATCTCTAGCAGTCGCCTCAGTCGTTCTCCTCTTTGCCTCTGGTCCAGCTACATTTGTGTTTGTTCATCATCTTGACACCATTAGACAACTTGGTACATGCACAACACCAGAGTGGGAGTTTTGGGAAGGCCAAACGGCTTGCGTTGCGGTGTGTCATACTACCACCAACACCACCGCCGCCACCACTCTATCTGCCCGACTACGTGCTCTCTTAGTCTATTTGTAATGTTTGTTCACCTGTGTTCATCTCTCCGTTATGCTGGTTTGCTGTGACCGTCGGCTGGAGACGCAAAACTCCGCTTAGCACAGTTTTGCGAAGCTCCCGAAGCCGCCGAGATGCGCGGTTTTCCCGGACAATGTCTGCAGGCGCAGCAGTGGGTCCATAGTGACCCAGCCAGTTTCGGACCACGGGAGTAATAATTATTATTTGCAATTTAGTTTTTATTATTGTCATGGTTGGCTCCCCCCCCCCCATACGTGCGCATCCCCCTGCCGCCTTCCACAGGAACACGCGGCGCACGGCCGAGGTGTGGATGGACGAGTTCAAGAAGTTCTACTACGAGGCTCGCCCCGCCGCAAAGTACAAGCCGTACGGCGAGTGCGTATGCCACGCCACAGCCCGTCGCACCGTAGGCCCGTCCGCTCTGCTGCCCACACACCCCGACATCCCCTCGTCACTGCTTGCGCCGGAGTCGCCCGCAAGCAGGGAGAGCCGCCAACGTTGCTCGCGGCTCTCCCTGCTTGCTGTGTTGAGCACGGCAGCAGCGGCGGTGGTGGTGTCCCCTGGTGGTGGTGTCCCCTGGTGGTGGTGTCCCCTGGTGGTGGTGTCCCCTGGCGGCCCTGTCAGCCGTCGGAGAAAGCGCCGCGTTCACGTGGTGGTGGTGGTGGGGCGGATCTCTTTTCAGATCTCAGAAGCCAAGCGGGAATTCAGCCTGATCAGTGGTGGGTGACCACCTCGCGTTACGTGGCTGTTGTAGGCTGCTGCTGTTGCGGCTGTGTTATCAGCAGAGGGCGGTGCAGCCGACATTCATTGTTGTGCTGTACTATTTCACTCCGATGTCAACGTGGCCCTCTGCCTTTTGACAACCTCGCACTGACGAACGCGGCGACGAAGGGTCAAGTTAGCCCACACGCATCCACGCGGATGTGGGGCGGTAGTCACCTGACAGTGGGTTGGCACGAATGCCTGGACAGACACTTGCACGTGACGGGGTGGTATTTCCCATTGATGTGTTGGGTTCGAATCCGGGATTCGGTCGCCTGTGATTGAATTTCGGCTCTCAAGTGTAGCGAGTTCACGGTCCAATACTTAACACAGATGGCAGAATCGCCTAACTTCACCACACGCCTTGTAGGAGCGAGCCTTTGAGCGGCAGTGAACCGATGATTATGCCGATTAGATGTACTAATGTCTGATATGGCTGTTGTTCATGATCTCCCTGATTCACCGAGCCTGGGGCAGTGCTCATGTAGGGTTGGCCATCCCTGAACCAGCAGTGGGAAATGTCCTCATTCCCACGACGGGGGGGGGGGGAAAGTCTTATCCATAAGACCACCACTGTTGACTTCCCACAAAGCGTGGAGCTCATTCTGTCGGAGAGACGATTGAGCCAGCGCTCTCCTCCCTCAAAAACCTGGGAAGCTTTCTCGCTTCCCCATCCCCCTGTGAATGGGAACGGCCGCACCAGCCGTGCGCTCCAACGCGAGATCCTGCGCAGCCTCCATCGTCCGTTAAAGAGAGTTAAACTGTATGCATACAGAAACTTCTTTTACCAGGTAACGCCCCACTGAGCTTTGTAGCTCTTTTTCAGAAGCGGCCTGGCTATCACAAATTATTATAGCTCAAGGAAGTGGCCTATCGTGGCGGGGAAATTTATTATCGCAGCCAAATACTCGAAACACGTGATGTTGATTCTAAATGTGGAGGGGAAAAACTGGAGGACCCGGAGAAAAGTCCACACAACCACAGGGAGAGAGACACCGCAAACTCCAAATATACAGCAGGTGTCTGGGTGCGTGGCAGTTAATATCCCACCACAGTGACGCCCAGTTACAGACGTGCATTTAAATCCTAGTCCAGTCAGAGTTTCACTCGGCTCATCATTCCTCTGGGCGAGGTCCATAAAATACGTACCACTTTGTGGGAAAACAACAGTTGGACGCCTTATGTGTAGAGATCCATCCCTGCCATAGGAGTATGGAATGTCTACCATTGGCCAAGGGCTATATAGAGCAGCCGTAAACACTGCCCTGGGCCATTCAAGCACCTCCCGATTACCACGGTTGGCAACGTACAGTGCGAAAGTAGTTCAACGTACATTAAGCAGAAACCACTTCGACTTGCTTCCGCTAATTAACAAAGTGAACGTGGCCAGTAACATTGATTTGATCTCGTCGTAACTTCGCTTTGGCTGCACCCTCCACTCTCGCTCTCCGTGTCTCTCTCCCTCCCGCCGCTGATGCTGCCGCTGCGTTGGCATCTCCGTTGTGAACCGCCGCCAACCGCCGGGCCACAGCATCCAGGGCCGTGTGGACCTGCGCACGCGTCTGCAGTGCAAGCCCTTCCGCTGGTACCTGGACAATGTTTATCCAGAGCTCAAGTAAGCACCGTCCCCCCCCCCCCCGCTCATATAAACTTTCACCCGCCCCCCGCTGTCGTAGAGTCCCAACTAAGCTGGGGCAGTGGGCCCAATACTCTCTCCCCTAAGTACGTATATTGAACTTCTTTCGCACCGTACGTAGCCAACTGTGCTAAACGGAGGTGTGGGTGAAGGACAACAAACTAAACACAAAAATCAGCTTTAAAGAAATTAGGTTTCAACCTAGATGACTTGAAAGTGCATAGCTCCAGTGGCTAGGTGCATGCTAGGTCCACTTTGATGCCGCGTGAAGTGCCAAAGGCTCGCTGGCAGAAATATTTCAGAATCGTTATTTATTCTGGAGAAATCGGACGAGCTGTGAAGCTTTTTTTCACAGATGTCCAGTCACGTCGAGAAGATCACGGAACAGACCCAGGTGACATGGGTTGACTGGCTGAGATAACCGGCAGATGTACCAATACGCACGCCTCACGTACTCGCACACGAACGCCGCACATACGCGACGGCCCGTGACCAGATCACCCAGAATGCTTCTGGTCTCGTACATGTCTGGCCGCTAAGCAGGTAATGAGCCTGGAATGTGTTTGGATGGGTGACCGCCACACACAAACAGGTTCCCGTAGGGCTTTGCGGGGCGATGTGATGGGCAGCAGAGAAGGCAATGCTGCAAAAATCCAGCGTTGTGCTGTAATTGTTTCCTCTGTAATTACAGATTACTGCGTTAATAATGAAAGGGTGGTACAGGAGGCCATCATCAAGCAGTGAATTGATTAAAGAGCTCTTCTGATACAAGGCGCTGCTCACCACATGAGCCCCTCTCGTGCCATACCAACGTTAATTGGTGCTCGCGAACAGCACGTTCCCCAACAGTCTGTAATGTGAAGTGCACGTGGCGTCTCCACCTCCAGGACTCCCGTGGAGGTGCAGGCAGTGACCGGGGTGCTACGTCAGGGTGACCGTTGCCTGGAAACCATCGCCACGACGATGGCAGAGAGACAGCCTGCCGTGGCAATGGGCCACTGCATCGGGCAGAAGGACGTCTCGGCTGTCACACAGGTTCCTCCACGCTTCATCGGATCGTGGGCAATTGGCCCGTCGTCTGAAAAAAAAACCTGCACTTGTCTGCCCCGTTCACCTCGACCTGTTTAAAATGCGACCCACCTGCATGCACACAAACTGACCCTCTTTGCCCAACTCTGCACCGGCCCACATGCCAAACTGCCTACATAGCTAACTGCCTGTCTTCCTGGCTATCTGCCTACATACACGGTGGCGAGATGTTAGCTACCTGGCCTGGTACACAGGTCATGGGTTTCATCCCAACCCTGACGCGTGTATATTTGGAGTCTGCATGTTCTCCCCGTGGTCGTGTGGATTTTTTTCTCTGGGTCCTCCGGTTTATGCCCTCCACACGTAGAAACACGCGTTTTAGGGCTGCAATAAATTTCCATCTGATAAGCCGCTTCGTTGAGCTATCATTTGTGGCCAGGTCACTTCTGAAATAGAGCTCTACAGCTCAATGGGCCTTACCTGGTCAAATGTAATGTTTTGTATAGTGTACATCTACCTGCTTTCTTGGCTAACTGCCTGCAAGCCCACCAGGCATCCCTATGCTCTCTTGTGCAATGGTTCCAAACCTGTGGTCAGCCGTGGGAATTTGTCTGTGGAACTGCTGCAGATTCTGCGGACATTTTTGTTTTTAAACATTTTAATAAAACAAAAAATATCGCTGCACAGCGGTCCCCAAATGTCGGCCGCAGGTCCAAGAATGTTGGGAACCGCCATTACGGCGTATCGACACATCTCAGCACACGAGCCACCTGTTCTCGTGTATGTGTGCGTACGTGTTCTCGTATGCCTGGACGTCGCCGTGTGTGCATGTTTCGTGTACTGTGCGTGTTGTGCACGCTTGTGTGCACGTGCATACCCGTATTTGTGTGCCATTGTGCGTGCCTGCACGTGCGCGCGTTGGTGTGCATGTTGGGTGAGCGGCGGCACAGCGGTGAGCGCACTTGCGCTACGAACCTGGCCATCTGAGTTTGATTCCCTGACACAGAACGTCAGTGGCGAGTGACATCAGAACCGGTCCTCGGCCTCCTCTCGTTCGACTCAGCCATAAATGAGCACCTGGTGTGGTATTGCAGTGTACTAATTCAGAGACACGAGTAGGAGGCACTCTCTCTTGTGTATTCCGGCCTTCACAGCCATAAGGGATAACTACATACGGGGTCGGGACAGCCAACATGCTGCCAGAACCACAGCTCGAAGAGGCGAAGATCACAACGACGACGGCAGCACGACGAGTTCCACTCCAGATGGCGGCAGCCCCGACTGTGAGTCGGAGCTCGCCTTTTATCCTCCCCAGCGTGGCCAGGCTCCGCCCTCGGCCACGCACCCTTCTGGATCCCCCAGAAGGCTCCGGGCTTCGCCCACGGGTCCAACTGGTAGAACGGGCTGCTACCCCTCAATCCCATTGTCTACCAGCCCCCAGCGCTACGCGCTCCAGTGACTCATTCTACGTCACTACACGTGTCTGTAACACTTCAGCACTGGGCAAAGGTGGCTGGGCATGGTGCTGGCTCAACCCCCGACCTTGCCCCAACTATACGTGGAATGTTTGTGTTTGTCTGTGTGCTTGTATGTTTGTTTACAGTGTTATGCACGTTTATGTTTTTGCATGTCTTTGCATATTTACACGTGACTGCGTGCGCTTGCGTGTGCGATGGGGAGTGGTGGTGCAGTGGTTAGCGCAATGCGCGATGAACCCGGCGACCCGAATTCGATTACTGCTAACGGCCAACACCAGTGACGATTTTCTGAACCGGTCCTGGTCCTCCCCTAGATCGACTCAGCCTCAAATGAGTGCCTGGTGCTGTGCGTAAGCATCGCTACTGGGGGGCAAAGGCGGTCGGGCGTAGTGCTGGCCATCCATGCCTCCGTGTACCTTTCCGGCCTTCGTAGGCGCTCGCTAACAGCACTTGCCCCAACAGTCTGTTTAAAGGCTGCACGGGGGAACTTTGTCTTTGTGCTGTCGTCTCCTCCTCCTCCCCAGGAGTGGACCCTGACCCCATCGCACCTGGTCCGCCAGCAGCAGCGCTGCTTGGCGCTCGTGTCTCCAGCCCCGGGTGGCCCCGTCTCTCTCACCCTCCTGCCCTGCAACCGTGGCGATGGCAAGCAGGTAGGCAAGGGGAGGACACGGGACGGACGCACACACAGAGAGAGACACGGGGACACACGGGGAGACACACAGAACTGCTTTTTGCGTTGAGTTTGTTGTCCATCCCCCGCACAACTGATCAGTACATATGTGGGCAAGCACGTGGGAAGGCACACATGGGGACACATGAGGAGGTATTGGGAGACGCGGGGAGACACGGGGGTCACGAGAGAGCAATGGGACAACCAGGGACATGTGGGAATGCTTCGGCAGACACTTGGGATGTCCAGGGATATTTTGGAACACGTGGAGACACAGATGGATACGTGCGAATGTGCATCGGCATGCGAGGTTACACCGGAAGGTACGCAGGGGGACACACGGGGATGCAAAAGGAGGCAGGTAGGCATACCCAGGAACACTGTTTTGAAATCTATTTAATTTGATATCGACCTCGGTTTGTGCAGTTTCGATGGATTATTTTTGGCTTTTGCTGTAATATTCATTTACTTGTTTTTCCTCTGAATTATATTTGCTTTTTAGACATCTGAGACACTTGCAAATGAGACTCTCTCTCTTGAGCTCTCACCCTTTGTTAAACAAAATTAAATTAAGACGATACTTAACACAAGGGGACAATGGAAGGATGTGGGAATGTCCAGTAATATAATATACGGAGATATGCAGAGATGTGCGGGTACGTGCAGACTCACAGGAGGGACACACACGGATGCATGGGGACATATAGGGGGTCGCTTTTTTTGTTTTGTATGTGGTGCCTGTGTTTGTACATATCTAACGATCCACTACACTCCCCCCGCAGTGAAATAGATTATCATGAATTGAGATCACAATTTGAATGAAGAATTGATCCTCTATTTGGTCTCTGTTGTATTTCCCATCTGGTGTTTTTTTTTTAAATGCGATTAGTTTATTTTCTTGGCCTAAAAGATGTACGCCAGGTTTAAGAGGCGCTTACGAACAGGGCGACACCCTACCTTTCGTCAAATGTAATTTGTCCGAGCCAGACTATTGTTTTGAAATCTATTTAATTTGATATCGACCTCGGTTTGTGCAATGTTTCGATAGATTTTTTTTGGCTTTTGCTGTAATATTCATTTACTTGTTTTTCCTCTGAATTATATTTTTGCTTGTTATAATTTTTAGTCATCTGAGACACTTGCAAATGAGACTGTCTCTTGAGCTCTCACCCTTTGTTAAAACAAAATTAAATTAAGACGATACTTGAAACTAAACTAAACTGTTTATTTTTCCAGGTAAGGCCCACTGAGCTATATAGCTCTTTTTCAGATGTGACCTGCCCACAAATGATAGCTCAACAAAGTGTCTTATCATGTGGAAATGTACAGCAGCCAAATACTCTAAAACGCATGTTCATTATAAATTTGGAGGGGAAAAACCCGAGGACTCGGAGAAAAATCCACGTGACCACGGGGTGGGAGACACACTAACTCCAAATATACACGCATCGTCAGGGTCAGGATTGAACCCACGACCTCCTGTATACCAGGCGAGGTAGTTAACATCTCGCCACCGTGGCGCCCCTGTTTGGCTGACGAAGGATCCGTTGTCTTGTTGTGCTCAGCGCTGGCATCGCCGGGGACGGCTGATTCGTCACATGGCCTCCCGCCTCTGCCTGGACGCCACGGGGACGGACGTCTCCGTGGCCACGTGCCAGCACGACTCCTCCGCTCAGCAGTGGGAGCTGCAGCCCAGCGAGCGATAGAGGCGGCCTGGCCTACAGGATGGCCACTGCTCCTACAGGCTGCTTCCTTCAACACCTCTGGCTCTTCACTCTGACTCCCCCCTGCCCCCTGAACTCTGACCGTTCGATACCTCAATCCTTGACCTGTTAATCTCACCGCTCACCTCTCGTGTCATCCCCGAATCCTCACCTCCTGACACCTCACTCCCAGACCTCCCACCTCTCGACTCCATACCCCTACAGCTCTCCATCTCTAGATGCCTCACTCCTTGCCTGTCACCTCTTGACACTTCATTCCCTGACCTGTCACTTCTTTACTCCTCACTCGCTGACCTCGCACTCGCTAACCTTCTGAACCTTTAATCTTGTAAATTTTTCTATGACCTCTCACCCTGGATAATTGACCTCTGACCTTTATTCTGGAATCCTCCTCCATCTAACCCCCCCCCCCCACCCCCGAGTTTCTCTCCCACGATTGTTCCTTTCACCGTTCGCCTGCGCATTTCACCGATTTCCAGCGACAACCCCGAACCCCCCCCGCTCCCCCACTTTTACCCTGACCCCTCACCTCCGATTCCTCACATTGCATCATCACCCCCCCCCCTCCCCGAGACCCAGAACATTTTATAAATAACTTTTTAGTATTATTGTTTACTTGTTCGCAATAGCGGTCGAGCCGTTTCGTCGTCCGTCGGTGGCTCCCGTCAGGAGACGCGGCCAAGCGCCCGGTGCGTGGTGGCGTCCGGCGTATTTCAGCCGCTTGGGGGGGGGACACGGAGCTTTGGCCGATTTTTAGCGAGACGCCGGTTTTTACGTTTCCGCGTTCTTACTCGGCCTCCAAACTCGGACGAGACTGACCGAGCGAGAGGCACGTTACCCCCGCTCAAGTCGACTCGGAAGCCGAGTCGCTGCGACTCTCTCTCTGGCCAGGCGAGCGCGGGATGAGACCCGTCACCATGGTGGGGGGAGGGGGGGGGCCCAAAGCGAATGGCGACGGTTTCCGCGTTCCCGTCGCGGGAGCCAGTTTATTGTCACGACCACCACTGCGTTGATGGCCCACAAACAGCAAGTACTCACATTGTATTGTGGGTTGGCGTAACATTACGGGAATATCGGTACTGTCTTCTGTAACCTGATTGCGAAAGCGGGTTATTCTCGAACATCGTGTACAGGTAGTCCTCTACTTACGATGAAGATGCATTACGACGACCCCATCGTAAGTCAAAAATATCATAAGATGAAGATGGCCTTAGCTTACCCAGGAGTCTTAAATAATGGTGATAATTTATCAAAACAGAGCAATTTACAGTACCGTACTGTATAAACTACTGTTTTTATTAATTACAATACTGTATTGCACAGTAAAATGTAAAGTAAAAAAACAAGGTAAATTCTTCACTAAAATTTGGCTTTTGAAACACAAAAAACACAGAAAAAAATACATGCGCTAACACCGAGACAACTTAACTCCGTCGACCGCTGGTGAGAGTGAGGCATCACCACACAAGGCGGGAGACGCGTACATCCCGGCAGCGTCCCAACGTACAGGGATCGTACCTCGTACGCTGCTGCGTTTGCCTGCCGCGCAAAATTTTAAATATTTTACAATTTTGTCGTATCGCTATCGCCATCGTGAGATCGAAATATCGTAAGTCGGACACTATCTGTATAATGACATTGGGTGGTTAGCGTGTTTGTGAAGAGGGTATTGGGACAGTGTTTGGTCCGCATTCCTTGGCTGCTAAAACCTGTACTGGAAACATCTCGGGCACAGAATAAATCTAACAATTCTGATGCTTGTAGTAAAAATGCACCTTATGAGGGTACCCTGTAAGAGCTGGCAACTTCCAGAGGTTGTTCCTGAACGAGATGATGCAACAGCGAAGCCAAAGTGGTAACCCTGCTCATACAAGCACCGGGGCCGGTGTTCGTCTCAACCGGTGGACCTAAAGCAGTGGTGGACGATCCACATTCATACGGCAGACGGTCAGAACATTCGTAAAACAAACCTACTGATTCTGCCACAGTGGCGCTTCCCTTGGAGGCGCTGCAGAGGTCGTGGCTGGGACGACTTACAAACCAGGATTTGAACGCGTGAGCTTCTGACCGCGAAGTTGGGCACTCCAGCGCCGTTCGGCCGGACGACGCCGTCTGTCTGTGAATGTGAAATGTACGAGGGTTTACCCCCCCTTTGCATCCGGAGTAAAAATCCACTCTGGTGCGTATCTCTTCTCCAGCCAGTCCTGGTGAAATAACAAAAGGATTTGCTCCGTGCCCAGACACAAAGAGCACAACGGGGCTGAAATCGGTGGTTTCAATGAAATAATCTTTATACCGTCAGTATATTATGGTACGACCGTCGGTGTATCATGCTGCTTCTGCTCGCCAACTATTGCTGTGTCCAATGGAAGAATAGACGAGACGCGATTCCTTCCGTGGCGAGTTGGTTTCGCGCCAACGAAAAACGTGCGGTGGCGTGTTGCGCCCGTTATCACTTTTGTTTTCCGTTTTGTCAAGTTGCGCGTGACAAAGAAAAAAAAACTGGAAGAATTAAATGTGACGTCCCGCGGCAAAATTGCTCGCGATTTTTCAGATGTCGCGCTGTACATAGATGGTAGCGTACGTTGAAGTTCGCGTGCGGGTTTTCAAAGACGATAAGAACGGAAACTTTACTCGTAGGCTCATTTTACGACACTCCAATTTTACCGACGCCAGTGATGGGAAAGAAAGGAAACCCTCCTCCAGTTTTATACCAACAGCACAATTTTATACAGACACCAGTTTCGTGGCATTGCAATAGAATTGCGATGTGATGACGATGTTGATGACGTCGTCGCCAACACTTTAATAATAGCGGGCGCAAGAAAAATGAGGGACATTCCCTCGAACAGGTGGTGGCTTCGTGGCACCGAGGAATCGCAATAACTTTTGGCAAAGCGCTGATCCAGCTGATGCAGTTCTCGGGTTCAAATGCGTCTAATTCCGCCCCCGTGATTAAATTGAGCTCTTAAGTGTAACGAGTTTAACACGCAGGCTTTTCGCGACCAATAATACCCATAAGAGGTTTTTGGGTTATAAAGTGTGAATGTAAATGCGTCGTTAAAGCCGCCACCACCACCAGACTCTATTGTGGAAGTAATTGGCTGTGTCGGGTGGTGGCGGGTTGAACGACACATAGGTACGTGTTCTAACCCAAAAACCTCTATTGGGGGAGTTGGTAGTCTCGCCAATGCCTGCGCAAAAACGCCATCGGGCAGAATACGTTTGATTCGTCGATTGGCTCAGCACACTTCTGACGGCTGATATTTATTTGCGAGATGACGATTGACAGGCTCTGAACCGCTCTGTGCACAGAGCATTAGTGGTTGAGAGGCTTCACCGAAGCGACTCCCAAGCGTAGTTTCCATGGTGTCGCTATTTGTCCCCGTGTGCGCAATTTGGCCATAATTGTCGTACACCAATCGCCAAACTTCGGGCCATGACCTTGGACATCATTGTTTACATAGCAGAGCCCAGTCACCGTTGACTTAGCTTCATAATACCCACGGCTCATTGAGGGGAGTGGCTCTCTCGCGTGCACGTGCTCGTGCTGGAGACGGGACAGACGGACGAATGCAACCTGACTGCTCAGCTCAGTCCGTGAGCATGCCGATGCTGGTACGACGACTACGTACAGCCCCAGATTCCCGTCAGCATTACCCACCACCCCCCCCCCCCCCCCAGGCTACTGAGTGATCCGAGTGCAGGGGGGGGGGGGGCTCCCCACCCATTCTACGCGGCCGTTTGGGAACAAAAAACTGTCGAGACGAATTTGGTGCAAAATGACTTCAAACGGCATTTTGGTAAATGCATTTTTGTGTTCAATGAAATCACGGATGAATCGGGAGGCCAGTGTTTCGCGAACCGAGAGGGCAGAGCCTCTCCTGAACCCGGGGTCAATTGGTCCAATTCACGTGCAAGTGAATGGTCCCCCTTTTCCTTCCAATTTTTCACAAGCAGAGTTAAGTCTCCAATTGAAAAGGTGGAGCAAAAATCACCCGAGGATTTTGTTGTTTTTTTTTCCCTTTCGTGAAGATGAGATTTTTTTCTCCCATCTTTACTGAACCCACAGCAGGACCGTCTCTACCGCAGTAGAATGGAGGGTTGTCCACCCCGACTGACATGGCCGCAGTGGAGAGCAGTCGGCCTCTACTTCACCGACAACATAAACAGCTCTCGCGTGTCTGCCACTATGCGAAGCGATTTGAACTCCTCATTAGCAATCCCAAAGGCTTTTTGTTACACAGGTTGTAAAGGTTGAAATAGAATCCAAAGTTATCCAGTGGCATACGCAGGCTTGTGTGTGCGCGTGCAGACACCAGCTACGAGGCATTTGCCACGTGGTCGGATGTACAAGGGCTGTGATGATCGTGGGTAATGTTGCGCCGCGGTGTGTGACCAAGATTAAACGACCTCTTGATTGTGGTGTACGTGACGAAGCTTTGGCAAGAATCTGGGTTTTTTTTTCGTGTTACGGATGGCCGTGCTTGCGGGGGTACCGTCACAGGTCACGTGTTCGTCACAGCCATCGCCGCCATCCAGTAATTTTCTCCCAATTTCCATTCACACACTTTTGCAATTGTTGCACATTGTTCCGTGCATTCTTTTAATTGGCATTTTCATTAGTTTTTGTTCAATCGATTTTTTTTTCAGGTTAATGTTAAGATTGTAAAAATGTTTGCGTTTGTTACCTTCCACCCACCTAACAAATCCTAATTCGAGTCTCCTAAAGTAAAAAAAAATGTATATACTAAAATCTTTCTACCTCCAAAAAATATTCACATTCTAGAATTCTGAAATCCTGGATCTGCACAAATATCTCGTCTCATCTTTAAAAAAAATGGTAGCTGGCGCAGAATTACCGACCCACTTGCTTGACCTATATTCACCATACAAAATATCTTGGATCGCATCATCCGTTGCCACGTTGTCAGAGCTGCTCCATTGTGGAATCATCTCCCAGACTCGAGAATGTCTCTAGTCTGAGATTAAAGTTCATTAAAAGCGTTGCAACGCCACCAACAACCCACACTTCGCCTTCCATGCTATTCCACCGCCGTGGTGAGATGTTAACTACCTCGCGTGTCTCTTCCCCGTGGTCGTGTGGATTTTTGTCCGGGTCCTCCGGTTTTCCCCTCCACATTTAGAATCAACGTCACGCATTTAGAGTATGTGGCTGATATAAATTTCCCCACGATAAGCCACTTCGTTATCGTTTGTGGCCAGGTCGCTTCTGAAAAAGAGCTAGATAGCTCAATGGGCCTTGCCTGGTAAAATAGCTTAGTTTATTCCCCATTGCTATCCCCCGCCTCCCCTCATTACCCCTCCGACTGCCAGGAGCGACTCTTAACGGGTTTGCGTGAAAACTCCGGGGATCCTCGCAGTGGCTTTTGGCTAATAATCGAATAAAGGCGGTCACTGCATCGCGCGCTTTCAGAAGCACCTCTGCAACCGTCTGGACTGCTCTTCCTTCCGATATCAGGAAGCCACCAGAGCTCACTTTTAAATCTAAATTGAAAACGCATTTCTTGAGAGCAGATTTTTGTCTTTAGTTTGTTGGCCTTCCCCTCCCCCTCACCTCTTGATAAGCGCGGTTGGCTACGTACGGTGCAAATTAACTTCTACAGTACATAGTGCGGGCAGATGTTCATTACACCGCACCAGGTGCTTGATTAAGGCTTCGTAAACCTAGGACAAACTCAAAGCCAGACCAAGCAAGGCATAGTGTAGGATTAAGGTTGAGGTCAAACAGATTTCTTGATGTTATCTTTTCTGAAATTTAACCAATTATCCAGGTCATCAGATAACTTCACTGAGCTGCCCTTGAAAGAGCTTCGCTCAATGGGCTTTACTTGGGAAATACATTTCTAATTCTATTGCTGGAATTATCAGTGGATAATCTTCGTAGGTTTGATGTTGGAGAGAGAAAAAAAACGATTGTACATTTGACTTGACACCGAGTGGACTATACAAACATGGGATTAGCAGTATTGACTTGGCACAGATAAGCAATTCTTGCAGAGCTCGACGTCACCCATCATGAAAGAGCTGTTACTCATCTGGCGAGAGCTACCAAAGCCGCTTGGTGTTCTTTTCCCTGCCAAAGCCTCCCAACTTGGAACAATTGTTACTGCTGCCATGCAAAACAGAAACTCTGGAACAATATGGGGAGGAGCACCCTCCAATTAGCACGGTTAGCTACGTACGGTACGAAAGAAGTTCAACCATACATTCCCCACCTTGCGGTGCTCGTTACAATCGAAGAGCGAAGCAGTCCGGGTGACTGAAGATACACCAATGCACTCCCGTAAAACTTAAAATATGCTCAAAGAATGCATAATTTTCATAAAATCTGCTTTATTATGAAGGGGGTTTCAAACTTTCCATTTTAATTAAATTTTTGCCAGCAACACATTTGTTGTTGGGCTCATTTGGGTGGACAGCCTTCACCGGTTCCCTCAACAATTTGTATTTCACAAAAAGACAGAATTTAAGCCAAGACTTTGACAGTAACCGCAGAAACTATGCGGCTTAGAATTTAAACAAAAGTTTGATGCGTCGCACCGTTCTTCCTGCAACACGTGTGGCTGAGAAAAACAAAGTTAAAACAATGGGCCACTCTTAAAACGGTAGAGTAGTAATTAAAAATAAACTTGGGAAAAACCATTAACACTAATTGCAGGCTTGCGTGCTCCCACGTGAACCATCGTCTCACCCCCCACCTCTCATGTATTCGACAAGGTGGTGGCGCTTACAAGATTGCTGCTTAACCACTGCCTCAACACAATAGGTGGGGTAACAAACATGAGACCCCCCCCCCCCCTCCCCAAATAATAAACCGGAAAGCAATCACTCCCGTTGTTCCTAACATTATCCACCACAAACCCCAGTGACGGATGAACGCACCTGTCCAAAAACGCAAAGCGATCGTAAGAGCGTGGTGGCTTTATTTAACGCTGTAATCCCAACCGTCACACCACTCTCACGACCGTGCCGGATCTAACAGGAGGGTCCCGGCATCAAGAGCAATGTTTTAACACAACTTGCCGACATTCCACCAAAACGGAGATCGAAAACCAATTTCAATGAATGTGTCAAGTGGACATCCTCAAGGTCCATCTGCCCCCCCCCACCCCCGGACAATGGTCATCGGACCTATGGGTTGCACGAGAATACACGAGATGCAGCGAGAGAACCCAAGTGTGGGTGGGGTGTAACGCAACTCGGTGTTAAACCCAAATTGTGTGCACTCCAATCGGATGCCAGTGACACACCGTGAACAGAATCGCCATACTGCAATGTCAGGCTTAGATCGGTGAAAGCCAATTCCGTGTAAAAAAAAGCCTCACTGGAATCTGACCGGATGTTAAAATCAAGTCCAGTTGCAAGTTGATAGTAAGCACGGCCTTATGGGACCTGTATATTAAAGACAAACCTGAGGATTCGATTCCGGGACAGGTGCCGCATGAACTTTGTGTAAAAACCGTAGACGCTTTGCAAGGCCAAACTGCCACGTATTTTTGTATTAACACTTCGTTTGCTTGAAAGCGACAGCTCAATGGAAATGGCTTTGGTGCCAGATATACGCTGCACGCAACTCCTGCCAATGCCTATAACCTTTCTAGAAAGGAACCCACAAAAAAAGTCGCCACCCCTACTAGGTGAGTATGAAAGCATCCCCCCCCTAAGGGCCCAGTGGTAACCCCCCCATCCCATATATACAGAGCTACACTACGCCCCATTAGTCAAAAGGATGTCTACGCAACAGTGTCAAGAGTTTGCACGCACATCCGGTTTTGTGTGCGTGCGCATGTACGTGTTACTTACGTGTTATTTACGTGTTATTTACGTGTTATTTACGTGCGTGTTTAAGCGGGGTTAAGAACTCATTTACGGCACTTGTGCCGTGATGCAAACCTACGCCGGACGCCCAGTGGAGGTTGGCAAGCCTTTTAGGGAAAAAAAAACCATGGCGATGAAATGGGCGCGCAAGTTGAACGCCCGCGAGCGGAAGCCAATTGTAAACAAGCTCTTCTCCCTATGCCACGTGACATAACAACCGAGACACGTGGAATATAGTTGGTGCCAACAAGCCAGACCCATTCAATCACAATACATGCTGAACCACCCAGTGGGTGGAACCGCAAGTTAAAATGCCGAGCCCAGTTAAATCAGATTGCATGTTAAACCTACATCTATGTAATCTGACTGCATATTCTGACAGCCTTTGCCGAACATTATTTTTGAATACATTCAAGTACTCAAAATGTCATGTTAGTCGTTTTGCATTTTTTAAAAGCCAAATTTGTGTGAGCATGTTAATATTGTACATCACAAACAAGCACACCCACTCGCATACACAGCAAAGTAATCACCCATTCAGCCATGTAGGCTGTTGGAAGTCATGTTAGCGAACGTTTATTAAGGTGGGCAGAGTGTAAGAGAGTCGATGGTGTGACCAGCACCCTTACCCAACAGTTTCCTCCACAGTGTGAATGTCCACACACGACACTAGGTAGGAGCTTAAGGCTGCGTTGATCTAGGGGAGGTGCACAAAGGGATCCGATACGACTCGCCACTGATGTAATCCGTGGTCTGGAATCAAACTTCAATCACTGGGATCATTGCACAAGAAGTAAAACTCCTGCCCCATTGCTCTCTGCACACAAACTTGCATGCACTCAAGATTACAAATCATAACATCGTTTGAAACCAGATTTCATCAGCTGTATATTAATAGCACCTCTGAATGTACTTTATAAGTAAAAATTGTAATATAAAGAGTGACATCCAGTGCTTTTAACACATTTACCTAATAGCTGCATGGGTATTTACACACAACCAGATTCCACAGACCTTAGCTTAACATAAAGATTTCATTGAGCCAGACGGTAACCGGCTTTACTATCGATCGTTATTCCACACACGCAGCCTTCACTAGAATCTCAGTTGCATGGCGCCACGCTGATGACACGAGATTGCATTTTTTTCTGGGTCATGTGCCGTCTGTTTGCACCACAGTGCTGGCCCTGCTAAGACCAACTGCTCCCCATCCAACCCCCCCCCAAATTCCCCCCTTTCCCACAAAGCCCTTCACTTGGCGGACGCCTGCTGTGCCTGTCTTCGCAGCAGAATGTAGATCTTCTCCTTGATCCAGTCCTTGTTGTACGGCTGGTAAGTCTGTGTGTCGGCACGATAGCTGTCCACAGAAAGCGCATACATTAATGCTCGCGCAGACACATAAGACGCAAAGATCTCCCCACAACTTTATAGACTGTTTTGGGCAAGGGCTGTCGGCGAGTGTCGACTCGGACTGTGTAAGGGCGCACGGAGGTGGGTGGCCAACACCACGCTCGAACACCTTTGTCTCCCCCACTACTCATATTTACACAAAACACCAGGTACTCATTTCAGGCTGAGTCAACCTACGCTCCCCACATGCAACAAGACAAAGATCCCCCATATATCCACAAGAGATTGTTGTGGCAAGTGCTGTCAGTGAGCACCTAAGAAAGGCCGGAACAGCACACATACACAGACACATAATCACACTCAACATGTCCACACACGGAGGGGGGGGAGAAGCATGCGAGGGAGAGGGAGGGGGTAGGCAGATATGAAAGACTCACACGAGGCAGCTCAGGTCAGCCAGGTCATCTATGAAGTCAAACAGCTGGCTGATGTCGTAGGTGATGGAGGGGCTGTTGGGGTTCATGCGCTTCAGGTGCTCCTCGTAGATCTTGCACACTCCTGTATGGCACACCCCACAAACCCCAACATGTTACACGCGGACGTGCCTGTGTATAACGTGCCACTGTACGACACGATAAGCAAAGCTGAATCGGTTGGCGCGCCACGGTGGCGAGATGTCAACTACCTCGCCTGGTGTACAGGAGATCGTGGGTTCGATCCCGACCCTGATGCCTGTATACTTGGAGTTTGCGCGTTCACCCCGTGATCGCGTGGCGTTTTCTCTGGGTCCTTCGGTTTTTCACAACCACATTTAGAAACATGTGTTTAGAGTATTTGGCTGCTATAAATTTCCACATAAGCAACTTCGTTGGGCTATGATTTGTGGCCAGGTAGCTTCTGAAAATGGAGCTACATAGCTCAGTTGGCCTTACCTTATAAAATATAGTTTAGTTTGAGTTTCTTAGCTAGTGCCGCTAAATTCCACAACTACAAAAGTACTTGTTGCACACTTGCAAATGGTGATTCAGTAGGTATTCAATAAATGTCCACCCCTGTCTACCATCACCAATCACCTCTACCTCTTGCTCCTTCCCTTAAGCTCAGCACCAAACGCTTTGTCCTAGACACGTAAGCATTCATTCGAAGCGATTCGTAGCCTCGCAATACACGAAATGAACTGTACGCATAACAATTACTTTTGATTTGTGCTAATATTATTCTACATTTGCCTTCAGGATAATGGTCAGAATGAGATGGAGCAAGGCAGTACAGACAATACAGCACGAAGTAAACCGTACAAACGAGAGCAGATACAAAGGATGCAGTACCAATAAGTGAGTGTAATAATAAGGCAGAACAAGGGGTACATGTCGGCAGAATTCGATAAGACAGGGAGGGGGACAGTGGAAACAAGGCAAGTATTGTAAATAAGGCATGCATCATCTTGGACTGTATACAAGATGATAACAATGCAGATGAAGCGTAATCAAGAATATAAGAGTAAAATCACAGTACAAAACAGATGGACATTAAGACAAGAGAGAATAGACGTTATAAACAAGGCAGACATTCCAAAAGGAAACATAAAACACACTGGGCAATATATATTCTTGGTTCTTTCGGTAAAGTCACGTAGAAGGGAAACAATAAAATAATAATAAAAATATAAAACAATAAAATGATCTCCATATCTCACGATAATTATGACCCTGAATTGCGTAAACTCGTCAAATCACACGCTTTTCCGCGGCCGTCTAGAACGCTCTTCCTTCCGATATTATGCAGCCACTGGAGCTATGCACTTGCAAATAAACTGGATTGAAAAACCAATTTCTTCAGAACTGCGTTTTTGTATGCAGTTTGTTGTCCTTCGTCCGCACCTCCGATTAGCACGGTTGGCTACGTACGGTGCGAAAGAAGTTCAACGTACACACAAATCAAAAGCTCGAACCCGTTAAGGGCCTCCCGGGCCCCACCCGCCGCACCTTCCATGCACTCGTTGACCGACTCATAGTCCGCGTAGGTGCGCCCCTCCGGCCGCTTCGTCGGCTGCACCAGCAGAATTGTGTGAGACTGTGGAGGGTCGGGGGTGGGAGGGGAAAGAACGCAATTAAAGGATGCAGTCCAAAAAAACAATTGTCGCAGTGAGTGGTAAACACCCGTTGGTCTCACAATTAAGACCTGGGTTCGATTCCTGACTCAGGCATTTTTCTGTGCGGAGTTTGTGCGAGTTTCCTCCAGGTTCTCTAGTTTTCCTCCCATAGGTAGCACAAATGTAACCGGTGTCAGCCAAAGATCACAATGTCGAAAAATCTAACCTGCAAATTACCAAATCGAAATTGCACTTAGGAACATTGCACCCTGCTGCAAGAAAATTGCAGGATCCTCCGGAAAAAGTCTGGAGAAAGTGAGGGTTTCCTGAGTAAATAAAGATATAAGGTTAAATATTACACGATGCAATAATGAGATCCATGGGAATGCAGCGGTTGAAAATTGCTTTGATAAATGTAAACATTTTTAGATTTGCCTCTTGAACCCTGGCTCCTCCTGACTACGGTAAAACGTGCCACCATTATCGTGAACTCGCGAGAAGTGGCTCTGGGCATGCACCGCGGGCGGCATCGTGAAGTGGCCGAGATCGGCCTCGTTGCCGCATATCAACTCCGGCGGGGCTGCGATTTTTACGAGAATGCGTTCAGCCCCGAGAGTCACGGTAACTTTTAATTTATTTTTGATATATGCATCTAAAATTGTATTGAGCGGCCCATGAGACAAGCTTAATTTTGTATATACAAAATAGAAGCCGCTTTTTATTCTGAATTTCAGTTGTCTGGGGGAGGCTCAGAGGAGCTCAACATTGCTCCACACATTGTGACCCAACACCACCTGAGACCTAGCTTCCAATCCGGGTGTCAGTTACCTGTCCATAAACTGGGTTTTCACGTGCAGTTGATGGTCTCAGCGCAGTCACCGAAGACTGCACAAGAAAACCATCATGTTAAATTTGGTGTGTCACTTTAATCGGCTTTCCCCCCCCCCCCACCCCGAAACCACACGCGTTACATCCCGAAAACAACATCAGAGCCGTACAGCACATACTTCCGTAGTAGTAAGTAGGGTAAACCGGCACATGTGGTGGTGGTGCGCATTACTCTAGAAGTGTGGTAAGGCATTATCAAGTCCTCGGAGACACCTTTATCTGCGGAGCTTCGTGGTGCGTATTACATGGCAGTAGAACAAATCGTTTCCTGAATGTCATCTTCCTCATACATAGGGTTTTACAGCTACAGTAGTCCGGTACTGTAGGTCTGCAACACTCGATGTCAAAACGCCTACACTGTTATAGACGCGTTTTGGTGGTTGTTTGCTATTGCACAGCAAACAGCACCTGTTCATACATCAACTGTCTCCAATTTCCAATTGCTTTTAAGACAAACTTTCAAATACACAATGAGACTCGCTTTGCTGCAGAAGGGCAACTGCCCAAAATTTTTGCTCGATATTACATTTTGATTTAAAGCTTTCGTGACTGCAGGGATTCATATTCTTGGTTCCTTCGGTAAAGTCACCACGTAGAAGAGAAACAACAAAATAATAAAAATATAAAACAATAAAATTCTCACGACGTTTCGACTGCAACACAAGCAATCATCATCAGGTGTGAAAACCACAGCAAGAAATTTTGAAAAAAAGTGGCGTTTTTTGTTTAACGTTAGCGCCACACACATTACGTGTGTCAGGACCTTCCAAACAAAAAAAGTCTTGAGACAGGGTTAAGGACTTCCCAGCCCAAGTGAAAGTGTCTCCTATGTGGGCCTAAGCCAGGGGTGGGCACATTTTTTGACTCGCGGGCCACAATGGGTTCTAAAATTTGACAGAGGGGCCGGGTCAGGAACAGATGGATGGAGTGTTTGTGTGAACTAATATAAATGACATGTAAAAAAATCATTACATGAAAGGATTTGGCCTTTAACAGGTAGCAAAGCATTTCTTTGCAAGGCAATTTAACAAATTCCACGAACAATACAAAAACGTCGAAACTCCCGGTCAAAGTGCGCCATCTAATGGGGAAATGGGGGCATTACAGGAGAAAGGTAACATTTTATTTAATATTTGGACAAGTTCGGCGGGCCGGATTAAAAAGCCCAACGGGCCGTGTACGGCCCGGGGGCCGTACTTTGCCCATGTCTGGCCTAAGCCAGGGGTGGAAATTCCTCATTCTTACGGCTATGGGGATGACCGTCGATGCGAATTACAAGCCGGGGGAGGGGTTGCAATACAACAATACTGAGATATCCAATTTCATTCTTGGCCTCCAAATCAACGGAACGTTTCCCACAACTCTCCTTATCGTTTCCCACAACTCTCCTTATGGACGAGTCCAGGTCGACACTGCCTCCCCCCCCCCATCTTTAGTAACGAAGGCAGCGAATGGGCAGGGCGCCAACATTCGAACGGCACGGCGGCCTGAGCGAAGTGGTTACACATTTGCCGCCCTCTCGTTTACCAGTAAAAAAAATATGCAAGTTTAAACAAAGGTAAGTGCGCAACCCTTGCAACTGCTCGCTGGAGCAGTCGAAAGAGCCTCCGCGAGAGGATGCGGAGGGGGGGAGGGTTCTCTAAGAGGGTAATTTGGTCTACTCTTCCAAGCTTACCCAGACGTGTTGGAAGCGGGTGTGAAACCCGCGCGTTTAAATCGTTTGCTGCCGATCGAATGTAACTTGCTGGGTGGATAGAGGCCGGCAGATGTACCTCTTTACTAAACGCGTCCGCTACTTAACCTGCCGTGTCGCGAGATTCATCTCTCGATTTCGCGAGCCCGGTGCGTCAACCGTTTCACCAATGTGGCAGCAGCCCTTCATTTCTCGTTTAAAACGGAAACTTATTTCCGTTCGACGCTAGCCAGGTCTATACGCGTGGCAAATCGGTTACCGGTAACGCTACAAAAAAATACCAACGCCTCAAATATCAATAAAAAATATATTAATCGGTGGGTGGCGCGAGTAGTTCGCGTAACCCGAGCTACGAACCCAGCCGGGTTCGATTCCCGACCCGCGGCATCGGCCTTCACTGCTCCCCCAGCCCACAACGCTCATGACGGTGAAGGAAGTCCAAACACAACCCCCCACGGGCGACACGGCAAGACCCCCTTCATACAGCAGTGGACTGACTGTTCAATTAAAACCCTTATCCTCTAACCCACAGACGTCGAAGCGCGTTCAATCTCCCTCCCTCCCTTCCCTCCTCAACAAAAACAGCGGCCATGTTCACGCGGGTCGCCACCACGACCACCGCCGGGGCCTCGAAGACAAAACCCCGCCACTTTGTACCCCACACAAAACCTCCCTTGATCGGCGAGCGCGTGGGACCGAGACGCGGGGTGGGCGTGGGCACTTTGCTGCCCTGGAGGGAGAGGCGAGCAGAGGGAGAGCGGCTCACCATGACGAGGTGAGCGAGGCGGGGTGGCCTTGTGCGGTTGCGAGGAGAGGAGGAATTTTTTTTCTCTCTCTATTCCCAACTTCTAGAAATGGAGGCGCGACCCTGGAAGACGAAGCGCGTGGGGACCGGAAGCACGAGGGGGGGAGGGGAGGTGACCCGGAAGTTATCGCGTGTGGGGACCGGAAACATGTTGCGGAGGGGTAAGGGGGGTGGGAGTAAGGGGGTGGAGGGAGGGGTGGGGAAGGGGGCGGGGGGCAACCCGGAAGTTATCGCGCGTGGGAACCGGAAGCACAGGGGGGAGGGTGGAAAAAGCGGTTAAGAGCGGGGGGAAGGGGCAACTCGGAAGTTATCGCGCGTGGAGACCGGAAGCACAGGGTGAAGGAGGGAGGCAACCCGGAAGTTATCCGCTTGGGGACCGGAAGCACGTGGTAGGGCGCTTTGTGTGGGTACACGTGGGCAAAACCCAAAACATTCAGCCTGTCACAGTGTAAAGCTAGGGTTGTCAACACGTCTTACTGTTTCGTTCCTTATATAGAGGCGTAGATGTCAGTTTAACACGTATGCTTTCGCGACCAATATCCATAGAGGCTTTTGGGTTAGATCGCGTAAATAGGTGTAGATGTCTACACATCTACGCCTATATATAAGAAACAGTAAGACTCCACAAATCTGGTTGTCGCCTGATGAAGCTAGTTGTAATTACTGGCGAAACGTCGTACTCAGATTGTAAATATTGTGGCTTGGCTCTCCAATACACCGGTGTGCTGTACTAGTGACGAATTGACCACGTTCTGTTTACGTGACAACCCTTACTAGTTGGCTGTGTCGGATGGTGGTTTTAAGGACATTTACGCGATCTAACCAAAAACCTATATTATGGATAGTGTTCGCGAAAGCCTACAGTTTAAACAGTCGTTTATTTATTTGCACTTTACATTTCAAGTACACACGGCTTGCTGATTATTTGAGATGACTACGCAAATACGCATTCACATGTGTGCCATTCCACATACAAAATCAAAGTACAGTATATACATTTGCCAAATGGCGCTCTGGGCGTGCATAAATTCAACAGCATTGAATCAAAACGAGAAAACTGGACCGGTTTCGACAGTCACAATCTCATTCGTACTTCGGCCTGTTTGAATTAATGTTGGTGAACTGCCATGTTTATGTTGTACCTATTATTTTAGATGTGGGTCTTGGATGCACAACTATATGCATTAATACACAACGGTAATCATTTGTGGATAATATTGGTTATTTTGTGCTATCCAGTCCGGTTTCTGGTAAGATAAGTTTTATTTGTATATTTTAAAATTTGCCTTTCCTGTACTTTGCACTCCTGTCGTGTTTTTGTATTGTAACTTGTCCCGCCCCGACTGGAACATCTGTGAAAAAGAGCTTTATAGATAATCGGATTTCTCCATTTTGATTTAAAGCTTTCGTGACTGCAGTAATTCATATTCTTAGTTTTTTCGGTAAAGTCACGTTATATATATTTTGTTATTTTGTTGTTTCTCTTCAACGTGACTTTACCGAAAAAACTAAGAATACGGATTTCTCCAGTTCAGTATATAAATACATATTCTGACATTCCACGTACAGTTTAACACGTAGGCTTTCGCGACCAATATCCATAAGTTTTTTTTGTTAAATCACGTAAATATGTGTCGTTAAAACCTGACAACCCGATAGCCAACTAGTAAGGGTTGTCACGTTAACAGAACGTGGCCAATTCGTCACAAGTACAGCACACCGGTGTGTTGGAGAGCCAAGCCACAACATTTACAATCTGAGTACGACGTTTCACCAGTAATTACAACTAGCTTCATCAGGCGACAGCCAGATTTGTGACGTACAGTACAGTCATATTCTTGGTTCTTTCGGTAAAGTCACGTAGAAGGGAAACAATAAAAATATAAAACAATAAACCACGTGCCTTTACCGAAAGAAACAATAATATGAATCCCTGCAGTCACGAAAGCTTTAAATCAAAATTTACAGTACAGTCGTTTTGCGGATGACGTCGCACGTTACGGGGACGTCATCGCACCGCGTGTGCCAAAAAAGTCTGTGATCGAAGGTTGCGATGACGTCACGGAAAACCGCGACGTGTCCTCGGCCATCTTGGTGAAGGCGTAGCCGACGGAGCTTGGCTATGGATGACGTCATCCAACAGTGGCGACACGCAGAGGGGCGATGCCGGGGGGTGGGGGTTGCGTTTCCTTCACCAAGATGGCCGCCGCGAGCATCACGTGAGCCACGTACGAGGGGTGAAGGGGGTGGGGTTGCTCAGCGGTTGCCGTGATGATGATGAAGGAGGAGGTGGTGGTGGTGACTGTGGACGTGTAGTGTTGACCCGGGATCCAACCGCGACTTGGTTGCTGCTGAAGAACGACGGCGACGACGAGGAGGAGGAGGAGAAACAACAACAAGGGAGTGGCAAGGATTGATAAAGGCGCAAGGGGGAGTGCAGCAGGCATGGCGAGCAGCGAGTGAAGACGGAGCCGGGTTCGTGGGCGACGCGGATTGTGAGTTCCCCGTGCGTTGGTGTGAGTGTGTCCTTGCGATGTTGGCACGGTGTGTGGTGGGGGGGTTACAGGTGGCGGTGCATCTACCGATCATCTCAGTCGGCCAACCCATTTTGCACCTGCTGGGTCTGTCCCGTGATCTCTTGTAATCGAGCCCTCGAACGACTTCGCGCGGGCAGCCTCAAAGTGGTGCACCTAGCCTGGCACAGGCGCCGTCGCCGTAAGTTAGTGGCGAATGGCGGGTGTTGCTATTGGCGCGATATGTGGTGTGGTCGCAAGCCGTCCGACCGCCGAATCACGCTTCGGCGCTACGGAGGCGAGGGTTGGTGGATCACACACGGACGTTTTGCGAAATTCCCTTCCCGTGGGCATTGAGGAATGTGTGGGGGGGAGCCACACATTTTCCCCTGGCTCGCCAGCAGAATGCAGCAACAGCGGAAGGTGGACTGACATCAGCTGCCCCTTCTGATATGGGATAGAGCGTTGTCCCCTCGCGTGCGTAGGGGTTTCTCCGGGTGCTCAGGTTTCCTCCAACGTGAAGACATCCGAGTACTTCGACAACTTCAGAGCAATTATTATTGACGCCCGCTCGCCGCCTGGCGGGCTTCCAGCTTGCCTGCGTGTTCCGCAGCGATCGTGAGATGCAGTTTGCATGAACGACGCTAGACCAAACTAACCTTTAAATATATATATTTTTAGATTTTGTTTGTGTAGTACGGTGGTAATGTTGCGGTAACATTGGCGTGGGTTGTGTTTTCGTGTGGTTTACGTTGGTGCGGTTGGATTGAGTGTTTCACGAGTGTGGTTGTGGTTCGTGTGGTTGGGTTTCGTGTGGTTGTATTGGTGTGGTTGGGTTTCGTGTGGTTGTGTTGGTGGGGTTGTGTTGGTGTGGTTGTGTTGGTGCGGTTGTGTGGTTGTGTTGGTGCGGTTGGGTTTCGTGTGGTTGTATTGGTACGGTTGTGGTTGTGTGGTTGTTAGTGCGGTTGTGGTTGTGTGGTTGTTAGTGCGGTTGTGCTTCGTGTGGTTGTGTTGGTGCGGTTGGGTTTCGTGTGGTTGTATTGGTGCGGTTGTGGTTTGTGTGGTTGTGTTGGTGTGGTTGTGGTTTGTGTGGTTGTGTTGGTGCGGTTGTGGTTTGTGTGGTTGTGTTGGTGCGGTTGGGCATCGTGTGGTTGTATTGGTGTGGTTGGGTTTCGTGTGGTTGTGTTGGTGTGGTTGTGTTTCGTGTGGTTGTATTGGTGCGGCTGTGGTTTGTGTGGTTGTGTTGGTGCGGTTGGGCTTCGTGTGGTTGTATTGGTGTGGTTGTGGTTTGTGTGGTTGTATTGGTGCGGTTGTGGTTTGTGTGGTTGTGTTGGTGTGGTTGGGTTTCGTGTGGTTGTGTTGGTGCGGTTGTGGTTGTGTTGGTGTGGTTGTGTTGGTGCGGTTGTGGTTTGTGTGGTTGTATTAGTGTGGTTGTGGTTTGTGTGGTTGTGTTGGTGCGGTTGTGGTTTGTGTGGTTGTGTTGGTGCGGTTGGGCATCGTGTGGTTGTATTGGTGTGGTTGGGTTTCGTGTGGTTGTGTTGGTGTGGTTGTGTTTCGTGTGGTTGTATTGGTGCGGCTGTGGTTTGTGTGGTTGTGTTGGTGCGGTTGGGCTTCGTGTGGTTGTATTGGTGTGGTTGTGGTTTGTGTGGTTGTATTGGTGTGGTTGGGTTTCGTGTGGTTGTTGGTCCGGTTGTGGTTTGTGTGGTTGTATTGGTGCGGTTGTGGTTGTGTTGGTGTGGTTGAATTTCGTGTGGTTGTGTTGGTGCGGTTGGGTTTCGTGTGGTTGTATTGGTGTGGTTGGGTTTCGTGTGGTTGTATTGGTGTGGTTGTGGTTTGTGTGGTTGTGTTGGTGCGGTTGTGGTTTGTGTGGTTGTGTTGGTGCGGTTGGGTTTCGTGTGGTTGTGTTGGAGCGGTTGTGGTTGTATTGGTGTGGTTGTGTTTCGTGTGGTTGGGTTTCGTGTGGTTGTGTTGGAGCGGTTGTGGTTCGTGTGGTTGTGTTAGTGCTTCTCACAGTGCGCTTTGATCAGCACGTATTTGTCCGAGAGTGCGTGGTTCCGATGGGTTTAGTGCGGTTCGCTTCGGTTCCTGTCGGTCGGCTTCATTCTTGTCGTGGCCGCCTTGCCGGGAATGGTTCGGTGCGGTTAGGATCACTCTGCTGAGATTGTGTTCAGGGTCTCTTTCCCGACGTGGTGTGAGGCTCAGAGAGGGCTGAGACTTCTTAGGTAACACTACTGCCTCTGGCACCTGACCCCTAATCTTTTAACCCCTCATCCCCAAACCATGAACTATAACACAACCATAAACCTAACGCCTAACTGCTAAATTCTAACCCTTGCCCCTTAACTCTAAATCCTAAGACCTAGCCCCTAACAGTAAACCCTAACTCAAAACTCTTAATCCTTACCCCAAAACTCCAAACTATAAACCCCTGACCCTAAACCCCCTCGTTTTAAACCGTAACCGCTAAACCTAACAGCAAACCCCTTAAACCTTACAGTACATTCTAACCCATAACCCTACACCGTAATCCTAGATTATAACCCTTAAATTCTAAACCCCAACTATAAAGAGGCCGAGAGAGGTTAGTGCTTTATCGTGGTAGGGAAGTATGTCCTTTGGCGCTTTGGCTTATATACTGTGGGAGTGGTTCTGAGTAGTAGAATGGTGTGTGCGTATGCTCCATTGAGTAATGTGACGTGTGATATAGTAGTATACTGTGTGTGTGCTATAGTGGAGTGTACTTGTTATTGTGGAGTGCGGTATGGAGTCCACTCCATTAATGTAGTGCGGTGCGTGCTGGAGTAATGTGGTCTGTGCTTGTAATTGGGGAGTTTGGTGCAGTGCTCTCTGTGCTTGAATACAATGTTGTGTCCTTGTGTAGGATGGAGTGGCAGAGTGGTTTTGTTGAGGTATGTGCTTCATCCACACGTGGAGTATCCTTGTTGCAGTGCAGTGTGTGTCATTAACGTGACTATTATGCTGTACATGCTTGTGCAGTACACAGTGATGCAGTGGGTGGTGTGGCGTTTGTGAATGTGCAGGTTAGCATAGTGTGATTATAGAGTTCCTTGCGCCGTCCAGTGCAGCATGATGTTGTTTGGTGTGTAATATGCTTGACTGCAGTGCGGCTTGTGCTGTGCGGTGTGGTGTGGTGGGTAGAGCAGTAAGGTGTGCAGTGCGTAGACGTGGTGCTGCTGCTGCTGTGAGTCATCATGGATGAGCTGGCGGGTGTCTCCCTACTGTCCCTGGCCATGCTGGTTGGGTGCTACGTGGCTGGGAGCATTCCCCTCGCTATCAGCCTGTCTGAGGTGTGTCTCGCACGCATACATTTACAGTCATAAATAATACACAACAATTTTATCATCATCAGCCATGATCAGTTCGCTGCAGGATGATAGCCTCAGCAAACCGTCACCATCTGTCACAATCCTGCATTATAATCCACAGAGCACCTGCACACAAGCTTATTGAATTGCTCCATCTCTGCTGTGCACGTCCTAGCAGGCGCGTTTCCTTCTTTGGCTGCCGCTCTATAATTGTTTTTTTCCAGCGAGGGGTCCTGTTTAAGCCTCCTTTTTTAATATTGTATCTTATTTGTTCACTGATCCATTTGTTCCACTTTTAATGTCTGTCAATGTAAATTCATATAGGTGTAAAAGAGTTGATGCTGGGAAGCATAACAATCTTGGTGGCAACTAAGATAGGGAAAGTTGCAGATGTGGGAGATGTTGCGAAGATGGTAATAGGAGATCATGCCGAGCTAAAACCATCAACGGCAATCCTAAATACTTGCTCCCACCAAAGGAATGTGGAATTTCCACCATTGGCTCGGTGCCACCAATGGAGAGAATTACATTTTCATATTTATTTCAGCAGAAATATATTTTCACTCGACCCTTATCCAAAAGCTACTTTTTAGTCGGTGCTCACTAAGCATGGCTGAACGTGCGGTGTCTGCAATGTATTCGCCCGCAGGAGAAACTGAAGCTGGTGACACTGTTGGGAGCAGGTCTTCTGTGCGGCACGGCGCTCGCCGTCATCATTCCCGAAGGCGTGCATGCTTTGTACGAGGATGCGCTACACGGTATCTACCAACACGATGGGCCCGTTAAGTGGTCCACACCGTCTGGGCAAGGGCTAAAGTGCCGTTAGCAGGGGCTGTGTTTTCTCATGGAATGTTTTCCGGATTGCTGGTAAACTAGAGTAGTTCTGGCGGTTGCGGTGTAGAGGAGAAACTAGGCCTCTTAATTAGTTGGTGTTGACTGGTGTGGAATCTTTTTGTTCGAGTCGCTAACCCAACTGAAATTAAGCCCCGGGTGATGGTGAACACCTCGCAGGACCGGGGCAGGCACACAACATGGTGGTGTGAACAGAGCCATGCCTGCCGAGCTGCTTTTGTCTCCCCATTCGCTAATCATTGACCCAGATCGCCAAGGTTGTAGTGCGGTGCACAAACCACTCCACCAATACCTGCCATTTGCCACTCGGTGACGGTGAAGTCACCACGGCGCCTTTGCCAAGCCAGGTGCACATTGAGGCCACGTGAACCATACCGCACCACCACTCGTGATGCACAAATACAGATACCGTTAACGCTATGCTAACGCACTCGCACGTGCGTGGCACGCCTGTCGAGCGCGCTTGCCTGCGCGTAGCACTCCCGCCTATCACACTCGCGGGTGTGTAACACACCTGCCAAGCGGACTCGCAGGTGCGCAGCGTACCTGTCTCGCGCACCCGCAGTTCTTGGACTCACCACCAGTGTCTTTTTATCCCCATTGCGCCCCCCGTCCCCCCCTCTCGCGCTACGAGACGCCCACTCACACGTCACGCAGGCTGCCAAGGAGCGCTCGCACGAGGCCGCGGCGGGAGCCGCGGGACCTGCGGCGGCGGCGGCGGCGGCGGCGGCCGAGGCGCACGCGGAGGGGCACGCGGAGGGGCACGCGGATGGACACGCGGAGCTGCACGCCTACATCGGCGTGTCCCTCGTTCTCGGCTTCGTCTTCATGCTGCTCATCGATCAGATCGGCAGCTCGCACATGCACACGCAGGACGGTACGTGTACGCGCGCACCGCATCCTCAAATAACACCGGCGACGGGGTGCCAAAGGGTTAAAAGTCCATGATGAATCGACCGACAATTGTCATGGACCGATTAGTTTCGCGGTCGATTTACTTGGTGCCTTTTTAAAAATGGTGACCTCGGTTCAGCGCTGGCTGAAATTTCATGAAATTCTGTCAATAAAGATGTGAAATTAAACCCGCCCTCCCCGCCCCCACCTACCCCTTTTACCCTTTACATTTGATCCTCATCCCTTTCCTTCCCTTCCCACTTGCAGTTCCTACTACGTGAGTGGGGCAGTGAGTCCAATTTTCTACCCTTCCCAGAACCCAGGAGCACTGAGTTTGGACTTCGTTCCTCAGAAATTCTGTACCCCTCTCCCTCCCCCCACTCCCTTATTACAGTTTGTGCCTTTTACCGGGCTCTGGTCATGTAAATATGAAAACAAAATTTTTTATTGCGACCGGTACCCCCCCCCTCCCCCTGCGAGCTACGGCCATGATGCCGAAGTCCTGCCCATCGCCTACCTTACGATGCAAAAATGTCAAAACGCCGTCAACACTTAAACTACATGTAATATCCCTTTAAAAAGTAATATCAAGCTGGAATATGAATACAAATCGGTCGCGTACACTTTCCTCCACAACCCAAGCAACTAATCCAACCACCAAAAACCAAACACAAGACCATGGGGTTGAGGAGATCTTATTCATTTGCAGCGCCACACCTCTGGAATAATCTCCCCGGAGCAATATGCACACTCAGTTTCATCACTACGGTCAAGTCCACAACTTAAAACTCTTTGCGATTGTATACAAATCACAAAGACAACTTGCTTTTATTTTATTTTTTATTTCTAAACAACTGTAGACTTCAATCCATGACTCACGTTCCTCGTATAATTCCCTACTATAAAATTACACTTCGGCCCTGGAGGCTTCTCGCCAATCATACTTTCTTTCCCTAATTTCCTCCCTATCTCCACACCCTGCTCTACTCTTCAACACCATCAACTCTCTGCTCCATCCGTCTTCGACTGCACCTGCGACTTCCTCTTCCGCCCCCACTCCTGTCGTCCTCTTCAACTACTTCATGACCAAGATCGCCCGCATCCGCTCCTCCATGATCACTGCGAAACCTCCTGATATCCTTGCACCAATTGACCCCTCCACGCTCTAACATACTATATATTTTGATTTAAAGCTTTCGTGACTGCAGGGATTCATATTCTTGGTTCCTTCGGTAAAGTCATGTAGAAGGGAAACAAAATAATAAAAATATAAAACAATATAATTCTCACGACGTTTCGACTGCAACACAAGCAGTCATCATCAGGTGTGAAAACCACAGCAAGAAAATTTGAAAAAAGTGGTTTTCACACCTGATGATTGCTTATGTTGCAATCGAAACGTCGTGAGAATTTTGTTTTATATTTTTATTATTTTGTTTCCCTGCTACGTGACTTTACCGAAAGAACCAAGAATATGCTACATATTCCTTAGATGCGTTCCTCGCCGTTTCCGTTCTGGAGCTGTCTACCATCATCTCCAAAACCCGCCTCACCTTTTCCTCCCTCGACCCCCTTTCGTCCATTCTCCCCACGATTATTCCATTTCTCCTGGCTCTCTCTAACTCTTCCCTCTCCTCCGGCATCTTCCCCAACTCTTATAAAAGCGCCATCGTTGTACAAAAAAACCTTCTCTCGATCCTCTGTCCCTGCAACACTATCACCCTATTTCCTTGCTTTCTTATTTCTCCAAACTCCTTGAACGCTTAGTGCACAACCCGCCTCTCATCCTACATCTCTTCCCACTCGCTGTATCTCCTCCACCAGTCTCAGTTCCACCCTCTCCATTCCACTGAAATCGCCCTCCTTCACACCCACAACCACCTGGCCAACTCGGGTGACTCCGGTCTATCCTCCGTCCTTATCTCTCTCGATCTGTCTTATGCCTTCGACACCCTCGACCACTCTCCAAACTCGGCATCTCTGACACCCCCCTTTCTTGGATCCGTTCCTACCTGACTTACCGTTCATCGACAGTCTCTTTCAACCGCTGCTCTTCCTCCACCACCCCTCTCACGGTTAGTGTTCCCCAGGGCTCGGTACTTGATCCCCTTCTGTTCACCGAATACACATCTCCCCTAGAGTCTATTATTTCTTCCTTCGATATCTGCTATCACCTCTGCCAATGACACTAATACAAATTTCTCCTTCAAAACATTCACCCCCCGACCTTTCCCTCCACATCTCATCCTGCCTGACAGCCAAACTCTACCGCCCTAACTCTCGGATTTACCTGCGATTCCACTCTCTCCTTCACTTCCCACATTGCCAGCACCACTTGCACATGCCGTTAACATCTGTACAACATTAGGAAAATCCGCCTGCTCATCACTACCACTGCTGCCAAACTCCTTGTATGCTCCCCTTGTCTTCACTCGTCTGTGTTACTGCAACTCACTCCTGGTCGCTTTCTGTGCTTATGCCTTTATCCCTCTCCAACACATCCAAAACGCAGCTGCATGCGCTGTACTCAACCTTCCATACACATCTCACTGCTCTCCTCTCCTTCAACAACTCCACTGGCATCCTGTCTATCACCGCTGTCTTTTTAAATTCCTCACGCTAGTATTCAAAGCTTTGCACGGTCTTGCCCCGCCTTACCTATCTTCTCTCATTTCTTTATGTCCCTTCACGCCCCCTTCGATCTCAATATTCCCGTTTTCTCACTGTTCCATCACCAGTCTCGCTTTCGTTCTTTCTCTCTTCTTGCCCCGTTGTGCTGGAACAAACTCCCACTCCACATCAGACTCTCACACTCGCTTTCCATCTTTCGCTCGGCCCTCGGCTCCTTTCTCTTCTCTATTGATGTTTCCCTTCCACTGCCTCCACCGCTATCGTTTCCTTCGCCCACCTCTAACCTACTCCCAGCCCGCCAGTCATTTTCTTCCGACGACCCTAATTCCTGACCCGGTTCCGATGTCTCGCTTCCCATGTGCACCGAACCACATCTCTCCCCCAGCCCTACACTGTGCTCCTCCATCAGCTCAACTATCCGGTGGCCACCTCTGCCCCTACCACCCTTCACCTACCCTCATTCATGCCCATTTCACCACTTCACGCACGTGCCCCATAACCCACTGCCTCTAATCCACGTTTCACCCAGCAGACACGCTCAGTCACCATCACATTCAAACTTATTCTGCGTGTGTACGCCCCGCGTGTTTGTGCGTGTATGCATGGTTGTGTTTGGTCTGTCTGAGGGGGAGCGGTCGTGCAGCGGTTAGCGCGTTGTGCTACGAACCAGACCACCCGAGTTCGATTCCTGCTCACAGCCAACACCAGTGATGATTATCTGAACGGGTCATGGGCCTCCCCTAGGTCGACTTAGCCTCAAATGAGTACCTGGTGTGGTGTGTAAACATCACCGCTGAGAAGACAAAGGCGGCCGGGCGTGGTCTTCTCCACCCACCCCCTCATGTGCCGTGCCAGCCTTCATAGGTGTTCGCTCATAGCATTTGCCCCAACAGTCTGTTCAGGCTATACAGGGGATCTTTGTTTGTGTGGTCCGTGTACGTAACGTGTATGTGCTATGTGTGTGTATGCGTGCAGACACAGAAGCGGGCCGAGCTGCAAACTCTAAGATGACGACGACACTGGGCTTGGTGGTTCATGCTGCAGGTAGGAAGATCAGAGCCTCTGTCTCTACATCTCTCTCTTGGTCCACGTGTCCACCTGCCTGTCCTTTCTGTCTGTGACTGTCCATTGTTTGTGTCTGTCTATCTGTGCATCCTGTGCTTGCCCAGCCACCGCATGCCCAAATAGCCTTTGTTTGGCCAGATAGAGGGTTATAAACGGGCATGGCACAGGCTAGAGAAGAGATGGAATGATGTGTTATGAGAGGATATGGAGCTGAGTGGACTTGCTAATAACTTGTACGAGGGTGTCAAGATCGACCTCTGTGGAGGAGGCTCGTGAAGGACGCTACTGTGCAGTTGGAGGCAGACGCCCTCCAGCAACAATGGAGGGCAGAGCAGCGACGCTCGCAACAACGAGCGGAGCGTCGGCAGGTTAAAACACAGCAGGTTGGCACAGTAGGGGGCACAGGTGGTGCATCGGCCAGTTATCTCGGTCAGTCAACCCATGGCACCTGGGTCTGTCCCGTGACCTCCTGCCAGCGGGAGTTCAACACTTCACATGGCCTTAAAGTGCAAATAGCCTGCGACAAGTGCCGTGGTGACATCACTGCCACTTCGTGGCAAATGGGGATTGTTGTTGTCCTGTCTCTATACCTGTTCATATGTTATCTCGTTTGTCCTTCTGTCCTGTCTGCCTATGTCTTTCTGCCCTTTCTTTCCTTCTGTATTTCCATTAATCCTTCACTTTGTTTGTGTGTCTACCTATTAATTTGTTCTTTCCTCTGTTTGTCCTTCTGTCTCCCCGCCTTTCAGTCTGTCATTGGCTTTGTAAGTGTCATTGGCTTTGTAAGCATGTGCTCACATTAAAAACAAAGCCATTGTTGAACACAGGTCACCTTCATTAAAGAGTCTCGCTGTCCCAAACTCTCAGTGGACTCCGACCTGGCTTAGAGGAACTGCTTCATGTCGACGAACACGCCCAATAGCCTGCATTAATACACACTCTCAGTGATGTATTGTCAAACAACTCCGACAACACGTGCGGTTGGGGGAGGCCCTCATCCGATAACACCTTAATATATATCGAGGACCGCAGATCTTGGGCAGTTGCTGGCGCCGGCTCATCGCGTGGCTTCCTTCCTGTTTGTCTGTGGTTCCTCCTCGTCCCACCGAGTCGTTCTCTCTCTCTCTATACGAGAGCAAGCGAAGACTGTGCGGCCGGAGCGTTCCAAGTTGAAATTAATCCAGCAGTGGATCGACTAAAGGCCGGCACACGTGCCGCACCCGTACGAGACTGTGACCGGTGTTTGCGCGTCTCTCCATCTCCCCGCGTCCCCCACGCCAGCGGACGGGGTTGCATTGGGTGCCGCTGCCTCCACGTCCCGCACGGCCATTCAGCTCATTGTGTTCGTGGCCATCATGTTGCACAAGGTGAGTTCTCCCTAGCAATGAAACTATCCTTGCCACCTGAGTTATCACCTGGTTAAACAAACGTAAACTTTATTGGCTAGGCCATAACAGTGAGTGTTTAATGGTTTGGGGAGGAATGCAGCTGTTCTGGCCTCACGAACTCCTCGTGTGCCAGGCTAGCCTTTCCCCAGCGGTCTCTGTGTAAGGATACACAGGGGAACTTGGTCTTTCTACATCATGTATACTTTTGATTTCAACCTTTCGTGACTGCAGGGATTCATATTCTTGGTTCAATAAAATAAAGAACCAATAAATAAAGAACCAAAATAAAGAACCAATAAAATAAAAAAACATATATAAATATATTTTTATTATTTTATTGTTTCCTTTCTACGTGACTTCATTTATACTTGTTTTATTATTTGACTACGAGGCTTTTTTCTCAAAGGATACATGGGGCGTATAAGAGCACAAACAAAAATAAAATCCAAAAATTTCACGAGAAGAAAATTTAGCGGAGCTTCGTAAATAAAGCACAAAGCAAAGTAACAACGCATTAGCGGACGTTAAAAATGTGATGGTGGATCTATGAAGATGGCGGTAGAGTTAAGGTGGCGATGATGATGATGTATTAACGAAGAGAAGTGCTGGTGACTATCCACCGCTGAAGATGGGCGTAATGAGCTCAGATTGCGTGCAGGAGTGAGATCGGTCGCAGTGCTCGTGAGCGATGGCGACGGCATTGGGGAGACCTTCATCCAGCAATGTATAAAACAAGGCTGCGTGTGTGTGTGTTGTGGGGAGTGGTAGTGTAACTTGTAGTGTGCTGCGCTACGAACCCGGCGACGCGAGTTGGATTCCTGCTCACGGCCAACACCAGTGGCGATTACCTTAACCGGTCCTAGGCCTCCCCTAGATCGACTCGGCCTCCTAATGAGTACCCGGTACGGTGTGTAACATCGCGACACAGAAGATAAAGGCAGCTGGGCGTGGTCCCGGCCACCCACCCCCTTGTGTGTCATTCCTGGCCTTCATAGGCGTTTCTCGCTAAGGGTACTTGCCCCAACGGTCTGTTAAAGGCTATACGGGGGATCTTTGTCTTTGTGCGTGTGTCTGGAGGCGCCGGCCGCGTTCGGCCTCGTCTCGTTCCTGATGCACGCGGGACTGGAGCGGAACCGCATCCGGCGCCACCTACTCGTCTTCTCACTCGCCGCCCCTATCCTCGCCATCGTCACCTTCCTCGTCCTCAGCCAGGTCCGGTTCACGGCCTGCCGTTTCCACGCGGCAGTGCCCAGACGTGGGAGACTCTAGACTGCGGCTCCCGCGCGATGACACGCGACGCATTGTTGGAAGGTTGCACATTTGATCAAATCGGGCTCCCCCATGGCACGTTGAGGAAATTGAAAGCAATCATAATTTTTATCACGTCGGCTTTCGCGACCAATATCATCAATAATAGAGGTTGTTTGGGTTAGATCGCGTAAATGTATAAATGTGTCGTTAAAACCCGCCACCACCCGACACGGCCAACTAGTAAGGGTTGTCACGTAAACAGAACGTGGCCAATTCGTCACTCGTACAGCACTAACCGGTGTGTTGGAGAGCCAAGCCACAACATTTTAATGACACATTTATATATTTACGCCATCTAACCCAAAAACCTCTAATGGATGATATTGGTCACGAAAATCCTACGTGTTCAACTGACTGTACTCAGATTGTAAATGGTGTGGCTTGGCTCTCCAACACACCGGTGTGCTGTACTAGTGACGAGTTTGCGGCTGAGTTCAATTCCCAGCGATGGCTAACATAAGTGGCGAGCGATATCCGAAACGGTTGGCAACCAAAATAACAAGAAGAACCATTTTTTTAGAATTCGGTAAACAAAAAAATCTGAAATCTTAAAGAGTCGCCAATGCACGTGATCACAAGACGGTCCTCAATAAATAAACTATCTTTATGTTACCAGGTAAGGTCCACTGAGCTATATAGCTCTTTGCAGACATGACCTGGCCACAAATGATAGCTCAACGAAGTGGCTTGCCATGTGGACACTTATAACAGCCGAATACTCTAAACGCACGTTGATTATAAATGTGGAGGGAAAAACCGGAGGACACGGAGAAAAATCCACTCCACCATGGGGTAGCTTAGGAGAACATGCAAACTCCAAATATACATCAGGCGTCGTCAGGGTCGGGATCGAACCCACGACCTCCTGCATAAATCTCGCCACCATGGCGCATGCGGCTCCGTAGCCACAGGTTTGCTGACCTCTGTCCGAGGTCAACTGAGCCCTAAATAAGTACCTAGTGGGGGGCAGGGGTGGCTTGTTGTGTTGTTGGGCTTGGCGAGGGTGGAGGTGAAACCGCCACCCTCTGTCGCACACAGAGCGGCAAGGAGTCCGCGTCCACCGTGGATGCCACGGGGGTGGCCATGCTCTTCTCGGCTGGAACGTTCCTCTACGTGGCCACGGTGCACGTTCTGCCGGAGGTGGGCGGCGCCGGCCACAGCCACCGCTCGGACGGGGGGGGGGTCGGCTCCCGGGGGGGGCCCGGGGGCGGCGGGAGCGACCGGGGGAGCGGGAGGGGGCCCCGCGGCCGGGCCGGCGCTGAGCAAGGTGGAGCTGGCGGTGCTGGTGAGCGGCTGCCTCCTGCCGCTCGTTCTGTCACTGGGACATCAGCACTGAGCAACGACGGGTCGTGCGTGTGCTTGTGGGTGGGTGTGTGCGTGTATGCAGTAAGTGTGTGGGTATGTAAGTGTGTGGATATGCACGTGTGTCTGTTTTAGTACGCGTTTCGATGTGTGTGTGTTTGTCTTTGTTGTTGTACTACTACATGTGTATGTGTGTGTTTAGGCATGTTTGTGTGTGTGGGGAGTGGTAACGTAACGGTTAGCGTGTTGCGCTACGAATCCGGCGACTCGAGTTTGATTCCGGCCAACACCAGTGACGATTATCTGAACTGGTACTGGGCGTCCCCGAAGGTCTACTCAACCTCAAATGAGTACCTGATGTGTAAACATCACCACTTGGGAGACAAAGGTGGCTAGGCATGGTGCTCGCCACACAACCCACTCATGTGCTGTGCCCACCTTCATAGGTGCTCGCTAACAGTACTTGTCTCAATAGCATGTGTAGGCTTCATGAGGCATCTTTAAATAACTTTGTTTATTACATGTATGTGTGCAGGTGTGTGCGGTACCCATTTGTACATGTACGCAGCACGTGTATGCGTGTTAAATACATGTGTCTGTATGTACTTTGTATGCGTGTGTGTATCCGATATTTGTGTGTGCGCCACGTGTATGCGTGTGTGTGAAATGCATGTGTAATATGCACTGCACGTGTGTGTGGGTGCACGTGTACTATGTACATATGTATACTGCATGCGCGTGTACGTGTCTATATACCTAGCGTGCGTGTATGTGTGTGATCTACGTTCTCATGTGTGCATGCACGCACTTGTGCACTTGCGCACAAGTGCGTGCGTCCGTACACGTGCGCTCGCGTACATACATGCATTATTGCGTGCGTGCGTACATAACGTGTGTGTACATACAACCGTTACACGAGTAGGAACTTGCGCATTTCTATTTAAAAAAAAATCGGCACTCCCCTTTGGCCCCACAAATTAATCCATCCGGGAGTTTAGCCACAGCGTCCCGAGTGTTTTAAGTGAAACGAAACACGAAATGATGGGGATATTTTTTTTTAGATGCCAACTTTATTATTGTTGTCATATTTAATTGTTGTTATTACGTCAGCTGGAAATGATAAACCCTAGCCTTAACCAATAACTAACGAGGAACATCAAGTATCCAGTATGACCGCCACACACGGGTTTTTCTGTCATTATGAATCATCAGTTAGGTAGAGCCATAGGGATGTACTTGTGCAATTTTCGGAAGACGCCGTTGTGATAAGCCACCGCTTAACACGAGCATTTAGGTGGCACTGATCTCCGTCTGTGATTCCGAGCCAGCAGTGGTAATTCCACGTTTCCACCGCAAGGGGCAAAGTCTCGCCATAGGATGACTTCTCGTTTTATCTACCCATAGTGGATGATGATGGACTGTGTCGACATGCGACCCTGATTTGAACTCGCGTGCTTGAGCATCGCGTCACGCCGAGTGGCTTCCAAGACCTCAGGATTTGACACGGAACAAGCTTATGGGGAATATTTTTTTTGCACTGCTATTCATCAACCTTCATTGTGAATCGAATGCGATGAGCGTGATGCCGTGGATTAATTCATTAAAATTTCCTTTTTTTTTACGTCCTTTACCCCGGTTTTAGTTAACAGGGTTCTGTGAAGACTTATAACCGGCCAGTTTTACAAGAAGAAAGATATACATTATTAGAAGTGTTTTCGTAAAAAAAAATATTAAATAATTTCTAGTGGTTGGTTATTTTTGTTTTGCAGAAATAATTATTAAGGAAGCCACAACGCAATGACAGAACAGCTCTTATCTTGTACGTATATGCAAATATGCTGTGTCGCGGGCTGTCTGACGCAATCAAGAGGCTAAATGACAAAATAAAGATTTTGGAGTTATGGACAAGCGCGTCATCACATCACTTGTCACCTCCAGTGCACCATCGCATGCAGTGAAGTGTGGACATTAACAACATTTCACATCGTTGTTGGACATCCCAGACCATGAGCCCGGCGCAATGTTGATCTTCTTAAGCACCGTACGTAGCCAACCGTGCTAATCGGATGTACAGGGAAAGGACGACAAAAATGCCGGTATTTGCGATGCGGATTTCGCCGCACTCGCCGAATAGTCCTCCCTACGTTTTCAAAGCCTTTGTTTTTGACTCATCCCAGCAGACGCTTTGCCGTGAGCATTGGCTGTCTGGTGCAGGCTTCCACGTAACCCGCATTCGCACTGGAATGGAGAGAGAGGGAAAAAAAACTGGCGGCACGAATATATTTGAAGTTGGATGAACCCTCGATAGTACTAGACTTGGGGTTTTAGGGAGCTCATGTAAGGGCTGTTTTTGTGGCTAGAGGTAGAATTAATGGTACGTTTATACATATGGTTAGTGTGAGTGCATAGGGCGATTCTGGTTAAAGGTAGGATTAGGGTTGGGGGATAGGGAAAGTGTGTGGGATTAGCTGCACGATATTATTAGTGCCATTATTAGAGAGGGTGAGGATAGAGCTTTTGACAAGGTTAGGGATAGGGTCATTTTAAAGATGGTATTAGGGGTAGGGCTATCGTTAGAGTAAGAGTAGGCTTAATTGGAGGATTCATCTGTGATGGTTAGGAATATGGTCAGTTTTTAGAAATAAAGTTTGATCTGTTGGGTAAGCGTTGATTTGATAATAAGGATAAGAGTTGGGACAGGGTTGAAGGTGTGTTGTGTTAAGCTCGATCTAAGAAGGCTAACAACGTTTCACACTACTAATGTTTGAGTGTGTTATGTTACCGTGTGTACGTGGTTTTGTTCGTGTGTGTGTGTATGTATGTGGTTTTGTTCGTGTGTGTGCGTGTTATGTTACCGTGTGTGTGTATGTATGTACATGGTTTTGTGTCCGTGTGTATGCACATTGGTTTTTGTCCACGTGGTGGTCGGTTTGCTCAGAGAATCCATTGGCTTCTTACAGGACCACCGGTCTAAACGAAACGAGGCGGTCTTCATGACGTGTCAAGATGCCTAACACTTGGGTGTCTCCATCTCTTGGCCACGCCGCTCCATCCGCGCAGTTGAAACTGTTCGCGCGGGACATTAAGTTTGGTGTGCGCCGACACAAGCAGTGTGGTCTTGGTGATGTCCCAACGGCGATGTGGAGAAGTGCAACTTGGCGTACGACGCCTCGTTGCCCACATCCACAACTTCCCCTGCCAGCCGCCACCTGTGCCAGCCGCTCGCGTGAGCTTGGGAGCGGTGGGGTTTTGGTAGTTAATTGCCCAGCGGAGTAATTTTGTATATAGAGTTACTATATAAAATGTACGTTTTATACTTTTTTGTTTTAATGTACAGCCTTGTTGGTACAAGGTGTGTGTCATGGTTATCGTTTTGGCGGGTGATTGTGGGAATTGTGATATGGCGGAGCTTCCGCGGGGGTTTTATTTTTAGTGCTGGTGTCGGTTGTGCAGAGTGTTTTAATGTTGGGGAGGCATGTGTAAGAAGCAGGCGTAAGTAATCCCATGCATTCGGATGTCATTACTTAGCAGAATCACCAGATTTACTTTTGTGTTTGTAAATTCGGAGGTTATTGCGTGTGAGCAGTTTGGCATAACGTGAGGGCAGGTCATGTGACCCCTGCATCTCAGATGTAGGGACTTGTTGTAAATCCTGGTTCGCGATGCGATTCATTAGGCGGTGCTATGATTGTGGGGGAATGTAGCGGCTTCTAGCACCCGCAGGGGTTACATGAACCCATTGCATACAACGGATGAAATGCATTTCTCACACAATTCATGTATCGTGAGCTAAATGATTTGTATTAATTGACGCATCGTTACGTCTACACAGATCATGCGACACAGATTTACATTGTTTATGGATATTCTGTGCTTAAATCGGGCTGTTGTGTTAATTTTAAAAGCAATCATGCCATTAATCAGATTAAAATAAATTGAAAGTACCAAGCAGTGAATTACTTTGTTACTTCTCGAAACAAAGTGCTCTCATTTGTAACCGGAGACTTGTGTCATCTTCAGAAGTTACCCAACCAGCGCTGGCTATGCTCATGGAAGGGGTGGCCTGGTCCAAACGTCTCCGAGTCCTTGTGTCTAGTGCACATCTCGCCGCAGTGGCTAGGAGATGTTAACTACCTCGCCTGGTATACAGGAGGTTGTGGGTTCGATCCAGACCTCGACGCCTGCTGTATATTTGGAGTTTGCATGTTCTCCCCGTGGTCACGTGGATTTTTCTCCGGGGCATCCAGTTTTTCCCCTCCACATCAACATCACGCGTTTAAGAGTATTTGGCTGCTATAAATTCCCGCATGATAAGCCACTTCGTTGAGCTATCAATTTTGGCAAGGTCGCTTCTGAATAAGCGCTATATAGCTCAGTGGGCCTTACCGGGTAAAATATAAAAAAAATTGTTTAGTTTTTTTGTTTTGTGTGTTATGTCTAACATGGCCTCATGCAGGCTCGCTCCACCAGGTGGCGCCCAGGTTAGGGCCTTTGACTCGCAATCGGAGGGACACAACTTCAAATCGCAGTCAGGAATCAACTTGGCCGATCCTCATTGAGCTGTCATGGTTGTTTTTATTTTAAAGGTGCTATCTAATGTTGGGAAGTCCACAGCGGTTGTCCCATGGTTAGACCGGCCTCCACCATCGGAATGAGGAATCTCCGCTCCTGGCTCAGGGCTGCCATTGGAGATGAGCGCCGGCCCCACGCTCATTTGAGCAGATACTCGGTGTCATTTTAAAAAATCCATTCCCAACACACTGAGGTTGGTGGATCGCACAGAGATGGAGCTGCCATGGTGTGCACGTGAAAATCTGGCTATTGTCAGATGTTTGCACGTGGTTGAGTCCACGTGAGAACACCTGCTTAAAACACAACAGCTTTGTGGATCGTACAACAGCAGGGAAATACGTCATTGAGGAATCGTTTTGGTGTCTTAAATCGGATTTTATCGGTTATTGTAAATTCATTGCGTTGGCGTTAATCCTTCCGACCGCTGCTTTAAAAAAACATTTTACGTTCGCTTTGGATGGATGCCTTGGTGTGGCTGTTTAACCCCCCCCCCCACCTCCCTTTGTCCATGCCTCATCATCACATTCTGTAGTTTGTGTCCTAATCATGTTGCGGCCGTGCCCTCCGCGCCTCTCGTGGCAGGCCAGTGAGACATCGCACCATCGGTAGGGGGGACGCCCCCAGAAGATGATGTTATTACTATAGCACTCTTTCTTTCGTATGGCCTTTGAAGAGTGGCTGGCCAAACATAATAACTGTACGTTTAGTCTGAGAATATATTCGATGGCATCGGGAGTCGCTTGATGTACGGCCTGCGTCGGTGTGTAATGGGGCGAGTGGTCGGTTATGTGATGAACAATTTTGCGTTTCACCACATGCACAATACTGCTGAGGCCTCTTCAGTGGTGTCTTAGCCACACGTGGAGGAGTAATCTTCAGTTATCTGCAAAGAATGTTGTTTGCTTATCAAACTGGGATTGATTTGATTAACAATACAGCCACAATTGAAGTCCATCTCTCCTCGCCATCGCTATAGGAATGTGGAATTTCCACCACTCTTGGCTGTCAACAGAGATGCGTGCCACCCAACAATTGTATGAGCAGGTGAACACATTTAATCAGTGTCCAAACAGTTTAACATATACCACTTGTTTTTTCGTTACGATCTTTATCGTTATTAAGAGTATTTAAATTTATCAAGGGGGGGGGGATTTAGTTGTTAAATATAAAATGTTACTTTCCACACAGTGGAGGTTATGTCTGCTCTAATGAATACCTAGATGGTGCTCATCTCTGTTGGTGGCCCTGAGCCAGCGTTATGAATCCCACATTTATATGGGAAGAGGCACTTTCATCCCTCTGGACCACCACTGTTGGCTTCCCCACAAAACAGTCGCGTCTTTCTTTACCCGACTCGAGAGACGATGGGCTTTGTTCACCCCTGTCTGGAATTTGAGCTTCTGACCATTCAGTCACCCGATTGAACACGCCAAAAAGCGTTCCTTTAAATCTCTCAATAAGCTGTTGATGACGGGCCAGCGCCTTGTACATTTGGTAAGGTCTTGGTGTATTAATTATAATACAAATGAATAAAAATAGACTTTGGACAATTGTAAATGTTTTCATGTTTGTGTATCAGAATTCGGTGTATCGTCACTATCGTTTCGACACGAGTCCCGTCATTAGGAGAAGAAATATCCTGGAATTTCCAGTCAACATGCCAACAATTCCGTGATGTTGCTTCTACGGAGAACTAACTGCCCTGGAAGAAGACGTGAAATGTTTTCTTTCAGCAGGCGTGGCTATGATATGATTCACTCACACCACACTAGAGGGCATCTCATTGATGCCCATGGAGTGCAGTACTTGCAAGTGTGATGTCGCTATGTTCAAACAACATCATTGGGAGTCTGTTTGCTTGGACAGCTGGAGTACAAATTAATTCTGATACTGCCCGAGTTTTTTTTTTTTCTCCATTCTATTTCATCTCATTCTCCGAGTTCGGTTCTTAACCATAATGCACTAGTGGCAACTGGTATCTAAACCTAGCTTATGCATCTTTTCCTAGGTCTACTCAGCCTACACTGAGTTGTACCCTGACGTGGCATGGTGGCAGTATTGGCACCGTGGGGAGACCAAGGTGGGTGTATGTGGCATTGACCACAACCCCTCTTCATGTGGCCTTAATACGACTTCGGTGCACACTAACAGCACTTTCACAACAGTCTCTGTGGCAAAGCAGGTGATCTTTGCCTGTGTTAATGAGTTATTTTAATTAAAAGCGTCATTGAGTCTCAAGCTTCCTTTCCAGGAGTGTCCAGCATTGTCAGGTTTTGGCCGATTCTTTATTGAGTGTTTCGTATGCGAGGGAAATCCACCAGAGTAATCGGATACAATCCACACGATAATGAATGCACGTCATGTACATTCCTTAGATTTACTAAGCAGTATATAATACGCACCCCCATTGGTTATAAATAGCGATTTGCTTGGATGTTTACAGATTAATTTTTTTTTCTAGCACAGTCTGTGGGAAATCCCTGAGTCTTGCAACGCGGCTTTTAGACGTGCATTTCCTGTTTTTGAAAAAAAAAGGAAAGACATTTTATCTTCTCGTTGCCAAACCGCCCTGCACAGGTGAACATGCTCACCTGTCAACTACATGTTGCGTAAGAAACAAACAAAACAAGAACTTAGGGCAACAAGGTGTTGTTGCAACCTCATGGCTCTCGATGTGAACAAGTCCCGGCCCCCCCCCCCAAAAAAAGTGGCTTCTCCAAAGCCATAAGAAGGGCGTCGCAACTCCTCACACGCAAAAGCGCTTGTCCACGCATGAACCACACACAACCACCTCGCTGATCCTCGTGAAAGGGAGCATAAACCTCCACGGGAACTCCGGCCATCATCGCATTAGAAGCAGAAGCAGCGGCGGCTGGGGCTTGACCGTCGGAGCAAAGACGGCGGTCACAGCGTCGCGCGTTTTCACATGCTCTTTCGCGGCCGTCTGGAACGCCCTTGCTTCCGACGTCAGATTGCGAAACTTTAGAACTGCCTTTTGTGTTTGGATTGTTGTCCCACCCTCCGCCGCACTTCCGATTAGCGCGGTTGGCTACGTATGGTGCGAAAGAAGTTCATGCATACACGCATAACCTCCATCAACCACACTGAATTTACGCGTTCATCGTCAGACATGGTCAATCCACTGCCAGATGAAGGCCCCTCCCCAAGCTTTTTGCCATCTCCGATAGTCCTGCGATGTAGAAATCCACCCAGCAGCTACGCACGAGCTGATTCCATCGTTCCATCTCCGTGTTGGACGTACTCTCTCTGGGCGGGTTTCCACCTCCTTTGGCTTCAACTCCATGCCCTTGGTGGCAATTACACGAGTGGTGGAAATCTCACATTCCCAAATGCGACCACTGCTCACTTCCCACAAAGTGATTGTCATTCGTTGTGTCTGTTTTGGAGGGATTTTTCAGTTTCATTTCATTTTCATTTATTTGGTACAGCCCTGTCAGCCATTCGGCTCTTGAATCGGGTGCAACCGCAACAAACAAAAAACAAAAACATGAACAAGAAAACATCTTAAAGTGACTATGTGACTGTGCAAACAGAAAATCCAGGAAAATACAGCAAAATATTCCAGGAAAAGCACCGTACACCAACGCTGTGTGCAAAAATCCTAGTGGGATGCAAGTCAAACAACAACAATCACAAGACAACTTAGATTAAGGCCATCAGTCTAACTCCGTACTACAACAAACAAACATGGCCAAACCAAAATTTTTTTTTTAGAAACCAAAATATGATGATCATTGTAGGAGGGTGCAAACAATAGCACAACAATCAGCGTTCCTGTCGATAATATAAGTAAGAACATAGCGAGGTTGACACTATATTCTTAGTTCTTTCGGTAAAATAAAATATATATTATTATTATTTTATTGTTTCCCTTCAACGTGACTTTACCGAAAGAACTAAGAATATGAATTACTGCAGTCACGAAAGCTTTAAATCAAAATTTAGGTTGACACTGTCTCATTCACATCTGTCTCTCCAAGTATTCTTGACACAACTCATCGGCTCACGGCCTTCTGGAGAGTAGTGCATAGTTTTCAACAACATTGATTCAATAGAAGCAAGCTGTGGACCGGTTTTGACAAACAGGGTCTCATCAGCAGCCGGGCTCTATGATGCAGAGACACACTGTGTTGGTCTATCGCAGCGTTCTTCATTGCAAGGCCCGCGGGCCACTGGTGGCCCCTGGTGGCCTTCAGTGCGGCCCCTGACTACGCAAAGAATTAAAACACCGCCCCATCATCATCATCATAGTCATCGTGCTGGTGTCAACGCCTCCACTGGTGTCAAATGTGTGGCGGCCTTCACAGTGATGTCTCATCGGCGAATTGTCCCTACCTCCCTCTGGAAATTAGTGAAGAACACTGATTGGTACTCTATCATGGTTGGTACTAGTTGGTACACTGATTGGTTGGTACTCTATCATGAGACACTCGTTGCAGAGGTTCACGGTTCGATTCCAGCGACCGCCCTGAATAATACCGCAGGTGTTTAACTAGAACATTACTACCGCAGTCTGCTTCACAGTGAATGTTGGGGGGGGGGGGGGGGGGGGGGGGGGTAGGAATAACCCCGTGATGTCATTCGCAAGAGTCGAGCATTGTGTGTCGGATTCAGGGGTCCAAACCTGCCACGTCAAAAAAAATGTAAACCCCACATTACTTAATTGGGCCTTTACACGGTCGTTTTCATGCCAGGTGCGGTCGCATTGTGCCCTCAACAACAGCTGCCACCCGGGGGTGGGGTCGTGACCTTTCAAACGTCTGAGTCGAGAACATCGAGAGACGATCAATTCCCCCGGTGGGCGGGGTCACGAAGTGAGCGAGTGACGTTACAGAGGGGGAGTGGGCGGGGATACCTTAGGGGTGGGCGGGGGTGGGTTACAACAATCGTGGACGGAGTTACCAATGAGTGGGCGGGGCTACAAGAAGAGCGGGCGGGGTTACAATAAATGGGCGGGGTTACAAAAAATGGGCGGGCTTCTATAGTAATACACGGGGGGGTGGTTACACGGGGAGTGGGCGGGGTTAAGAGTTCAATGAGCGAGGGTCACGTGGGGGAGGGCGAGGGTCGAGTTTGGGGTTTTCCCGCCCACGCGAACCGTTGGGAATTCCCAGGGACCCGCGTCACGAGCCAGCGGGCCAATGACGCCGCGCCGCGGGCGTCACGTGGGCTCCTCGCGTGACGTTCAAACTGGGGCGAGAGAAGAGCGGCGCTCCTCCATGGTTGTCGTTATCGTTCATTATCGCCGCTATCGCCGTCGTTCTCCGTTACCGCGAAGTGGTTTTACGTGGCTCGCGAGCGGAGCCGGCGACCGCGCGCATTCGATGTCGAGAAACTGCGTTAATTCGGGGAGCGAACGGGTGAGTACAGTGAGAGGCCGGGGTACAGTGCAACGAGTACAGTGCAGCGGGCACAGTTCGCGATTAAACCGGGCGCGGGTACAATGGGGGCGCGCGCAGTGTGTACAGTGCGCGGTTTTACAGTGCGCGTGCACGGTGTGTACAGTGCGGTTTGCACAGTGTGCACGCGCTGTTTACAGTACGCGGTGTGCAGTGCGCGGTGTTTACAGTGTGTACAGTGCGCGGTGTTTACAGTGCGCGGTGTTTACAGTGCGCGTGCACGGTGTGTACAGTGCGGTTTGCACAGTGTGCACGCGCTGTTTACAGTACGCGGTGTGCAGTGCGCGGTGTTTACAGTGTGTACAGTGCGCGGTGTTTACAGCGCGCGCGGTATGTACAGTGCGCGCGGTGTGTACAGTGTGCGCGGTGTGTACAGTGTGCGCGGTGTTTACAGTGTGCGCGGTGTTTACAGTGTGCGCGGTTTGCACAGTGCGCGGTTTGCACAGTGCGCGCGCACTGTTTACAGTGCGACCGGGATGCGGGTACCGGTGGAGTTGTAGACCTGTGGGGCGCATCTCGAGTGGAGTGTTGTTATTGTAGCGTGCGGTCGATAAGTGTGGATACAGTCGGCGAGCGTCTGGCGGGCGTGGTGTGTACAGTGCGTGTACAGTGGTTTCCAGCGTGGCGCGTATAGTGCATTGCGCGTGAACAGCTGACGGTGCGCGATGGATGGGGCGCGCATTCGCTGCGCGATGTGCGGACGGCTGGGTGATGTGCGACCGCGCTGCGTTCAGTATGCGCGGTGCGAGTGGTGCAGTGTGTAACGGTGTTCATCTGCAGGGTGCAGTGTGTATTGGTGTTAATCTGCAGGGTGCAGTGTGTAACGGTGTTCATCTGCAGGGTGCAGTGTGTATTGGTGTTAATCTGCAGGGTGCAGTGTGTAACGGTGTTCATCTGCAGGGTGCAGTGTGTATTGGTGTTAATCTGCAGGGTGCAGTGTGTAACAATGTTCATCTGCAGGGTGCAGTGTGTAACGGTGTTCATCTGCAGGGTGCAGTGTGTATTGGTGTTAATCTGCAGGGTGCAGTGTGTAACGGTGTTCATGTGCAGGGTGCAGTGTGTATTGGTGTTAATCTGCAGGGTGCAGTGGGCGCGGTGAGCAGAGCGGCGTCGCATGCCCCTGTGGGGTTACTCGCCGGTCACGCGCGGTGCCCTTTGTTATTGTGGTCATTTGTCGTCGGACTCGATAATTTAATTCGGTTACCGACGCTTGTGTTTGGATGACTTATTTATTCTGGGACGTTCTGTACCTGCTGCTGATGAGCGAACGGACATCCCTGAGCTGTGTGTGGTTAAGCTCTAATTGCACTTTTTTTTTACATATGAACCTTATGGCGGGAGCCCCGGGGTCCCATCGGCCCCCGGCTCTCGCACGAACTGCGTTGCGACGTAATTTTGTCTGTCGAAGGCGAACGATACCGGCAATCTGTTCCTCTCGACGAGCTCTCCACGATGCGTGAATCAAAGTTGTGTTTATTCTGCGCATTCGTCCTCACTGCTGCGCTTGGACACGACATGATAACAGAATGATCCGCGCCAGGTGGGTCGCGGCTTTTGTGGGCCAATTCTTTTTTTTTACAATTTTGACTTCCGTTTATTCGGGACCCCGGGTTCCCGCCATGAGGTTTTTTATTCATAAAAAAAACTAATTTTAGCAGGTATGGCTCACTGAGCTATAACGTTATTTTTCAGAAGCGACCTGGCCACAAATGATAGCGCCGCGAAGTGGCTTATCGTGTGGAACTTAAAAGCAGCCAAATACTCTCAATGCGTGTTTATGGTAAATGTGGAGGGAAAAATTGGTGTCCCCGGAGAAAGAATCCACTCAACCACGGCGAGGGAGAACACGCAAACGCCAAATATACAGCAGGCGTGAGGGTCTGGATCTAACCTACGGCCCCCTGTATATCAAGCGAAGTAGTTAAAATATCACCCCAGCAAAAGACTTCCGGTTTCAATGGGCTCCTACTTGGCCATGATGGTGTATTACATCAGTTATATCCTTGTTGTGCTCTAATAACATGTGTTAGCTCCATTTGTGCCAGAGGAACAATTTAAATATCTGGGAATGTTCACCGGATGTTCGATTACAATCTCCTGTCCCCGACTACAACTTCTCTTATTTGGAACTGGGTGAGCCATTAACGATCCGCTGACGTAATTGGCGGAGAAATAACGCCTTGTACCGATGCTATATGGCTGTTACATTTCCCAAATGTGTAAACGGGAAGTGAGTGACGCCCGCGTTTGTATGGAAATTCTTTGGTGACGGATTTTAACAAAACCCCGAGTCAAAATGAAAGTACTGTATATTGCATTCTTGGTTCTTTCAGTAAAGTTACGTAGAAGGGAAACAATAAAATAACAAACTCCGGGATAAGAAGGCTCAGCTGATCGAGTCTCTCATCTTTATGAAGAGATGCCGTGACTGGGGTAATACCAATCACATTTACACTGACCTCTGCTGCTGTAACTTCTTCTAATTCGAAACGAATTCTTTCCAGAACTAGCTTAGCTCTTATCTCAGAGAAAATCAGACTTATACGCACCGAACTAGATCAGTTAGACAAGACACTCTACAAATCACACTTATCACTGACGGCAACAATGTCCACATCGGATTGGGAACATGTAGACAATATGACTGCCTCTTCAGCTGCCACTATGTCGACCAAATGTAAGGACAACCTGATTTCCAAATTTAACCTCCTCTCCAACAAAAGACCAGACCCACACACCAAAAAGCTAGACGTTAACAAAGTCATAAATAATCGCAGTAACAGTTCTATTTCCGATGGTATGAAATCCGTTTTAGCTAAAGGGCTAAAATTTGCAGTCACACCTAACCACATACCAGTTAATTATATCATTGCCCAAGTAGACGTGGCTCTCACATCGCTGCAGACGTAGCAAGATCTGAAATCGCTGCAACCCTCAAAAACGCTAAGATGCCAGCTAGCAACCTCAGCAAAGATGAGCGTTTTGAATTATTTAAATTAAAAAAGAGGGATGACATTGTCATCCTCTCAGCCGACAAGGGCAATGCCACTATCATCATGGATAAAATAGAATATAACAACAACATTCAAGAATTACTCAACGATGGCAGCTATACAAAAATAAAAAGAAATCCCACCAACAGCCTTGTCATACAAACCAACAAAATCATTTCTGATTCAACCGCATTAATTAATCAAACCAAACAGTTCTCTTTGAAACCTTCTGCTGCCAGGCCACCAAGATTATACGGCTTACCAAAAATACATAAGATACACCCCTTCGTCCCATCGTCTCTACTATCAACTCCCCCACCTACAAACTGGCTCGTTTTCTGTCAGAAATCTTGTGGCCTTTCACTGGAAAAACTACCTCTGCGATACAGAATTCTACTCGCCTGGTATCGACAATCACGGGTATTTCCCTTGTCCCCAGACGACCTGCTTGTCAGTTTTTATGTAGTTTCCTTATTCACCAAAGTTCCTGTACCTGACACCATCACAATCATTGAAGGCTTGGTTCATCAAGGACTAAACACCGAGGTACCCCCCCTGGTGAGACACTGCTTAACCAATACATACTTCACTTGGAATGTAACTTTCTACAAATAAACTGAGGGCACCCCAATGGGCTCCCCCCTATCTCCGGTTGTAGCCAACATTTTCATGGAGAAATTTGAGACTGACGCCATCCAGACTGCCACTCTGCGCCCAACCTTATGGAAGAGGTACGTGGATGACACTTTTGTCATCCGGCCATATGGCTGGCCTGCTCTAGACCAATTCCTCGACCACATCAATTCCATACACCCAGCCATCAGATTTACCATGGTAGTCGAAAAAGATGTAAAGCTACCTTTTTTGGATGGCCTAATAAAAAAGAGACCTGATGGTTCAATGAGCCACTCTGTCTACAGGAAAGCTACCCATACGGATGCTTACCTGAATCCGGATTCCCACCACCATTCATCCCAGAAGAATTCCCTCATCAAAACTCTGCACCATAGAGCCCAGTGCATATCCGACAAGGAACACATAGCCAGTGAACTCAAGCACGTACACCAAGCACTTAAGGCTAATGGTTACTGCGACTACACAATCCGCAAAGCTATCACTCCAACCATGAAGAAGGACCCTCTTGAGGAGCCTTTCAAAACCATCACTTTACCCTACATTGCAGGGATCACAAAAAAATATCTCCAAAATCTTGAATCGGATCCAGGTCCGATTCAACACATTACATAAAATCCGTGATCTGGTCAGCCCAGTCATGAATGGTTCCAATGGGGCCTCTGTTTCCCCAAAAAGTAGAAAACGCTCCACGTCACATTTTTCGATTTAAAGCTTTCGTGACTGCAAGGATTCATCTTCTTTGGTTCTTTCGGTAAAGTCACGTAGAATGAGAATGAAGGCCGCTTGTGTTGTGGCCGAAACGTCGTGAGAATATTATTGTGTTATTTTATTTTATCAATTCATTATTTTATTCTCATTCTACGTGACTTACCGAAAGAACCAAAGAAGATGGCTCCACGTCACGTTCTACTAAGAGCGGTTCTTCTATGTGTCATTCACTTGCACAATTAAAGCCACTTGAGCTGGGATAGGCAAAGTGAAGTGAAAATAACAAAGGTGTACACACTTTGAAGACCATTACTTGAGAATCCGGTAAAACATCAATTGAGGTTGGCTGAAACGCAGATTTTGACCCCTGGTTCTCAGCCGTGCCCGCTCAAGGTCTCAGACAAAGCCATTCTGAGCTTTGTAATCCACCCAGCTCCCTCATTACTGCAACATACTGGAGAGGCGACCTCATTGGCTACTCACAAATTAAACCATTGTGTTTTCACAGTGCATGAGTGTGTGCTATGTGTTGAGAGGTATACACACTTTACACTCTTAAACAGAGTTGTAACAATGGACCGGTTTGCAAACTAATACATTTTCATATGTTCAGATACACGACCA